AAAAAGAAGGGCTGGATCAGTTTGATTGGCAAGCTTAGTGCATGCACTCACAACTGACGCTGCTTTGTTAGGAGGCAATCGTAGAGACATTTCATTGGAATTTACATGTATTGTGAATCCGAAAAGTGTAACCCTTGGTGTCTGTGAAAAATCTCTTCTTAACACAAACTCAGGATGTCTCTCATCCATTCTTAGAAAACCATGAGCTTTTAACTCTTCACTTAAGTTCAAGGTATTTCCCAAATTACATTGCTCATTTCTTGCTCAAGACCGCCTCTGCCAAAACCGCTTAGGAAATGCAGGGGAGATAATGTTGCACTTCGATTATAAAATTTACCAAACGTTGCTGAATTTATCCAATTGGCGGTTGGCAATATTACATCTATTGAAGTACATTTACTTGCTGCTGCGGACATTGATGCAGATCTAAAACTATGCGACTTAAAGACCATGACATCAACTCCAGATTCAGTCAGACTCTGTTTTAACCCCCCCCCCATCTAGATATTGTGGCTGTGCTCACCTCCTTGTAGGGAGTGGAATAGCTCAGAAAGAGTTTGGTTTTGTTGTGACGAAACGGCGTTGCACTTTTAAAATATTCCACAAGTGTACGCACGACACAAAGGGATTTGTCATTTGGATACGCCGACAGGACAAGCACCTGTTTTGGTTTCCCCATCGTCGAAGTTTTAACCACAGCCGTGATGTAAATTATCACTTGTTTACCCACTACCGTCATGTTAGCCACGTCAAACAAAAACAAGATTTTGGGCCCATTGGCTGGATTATGCACAGAAACATACGAGCTTATAAGTTAATTGATTTAGATTCACGGATTTAATTGGCTCTAAACTGCTTGTATAATAGTGAAGGATTGTTCCAACATCCCAAGTTTGGGAGTTTCGGGGAAAATGTGATCTTATATTGGAAAGGCCTGTCGTGAACCGGGTTGTCAGTGGATGACTTCCATAGTTCCTGCTGATGGTTGGCCACGGTAGGGCTGAAAGAGCACTCCGAGTGATATTAACTGTGCTGTATTCTGCCCCGTCATGTACCATACTCATAAGGAACTCCAAAGCCGAAGTCACAGTGGCATAAATGGGATCAGTTGCCCGTTACGAGCAGAAGTGTAGCCATTTTATAAGTGCGGATGAGTACTGTCTCTGCGTGCTCCGTTTCCACGAGTGGAGGATGATGTTGACAGTTTCTCGCGAAACGCCCTCTGAGAAGAAGGCTTGCCTGAGAAGAGAGCAGCACACATCGTCATTTGTCCTTCTTATGGATGATGTTGATGTGGAGCCTGTGGGAGCGAAAACTACTTGCTGGTCTTTGGTAACATTACTGGAAAAGTTGTCAGTAGTCGCAGTAGTCTGGGGAACCGATGTTGAGTTTGCCAGATTGGGAAGACTAAGGTACCTGAGGATCCGTCGAGTTCTATCTTGTGTAAGACCCTGTCAATGACAGCAAAGGGAGGACAAGCATAAATTATGTCATTGGACCATGAGTTTGGAAAGGCGCCGCCCTCCTTTGCCTCAGGATCGAGGAACCAAGACAAAAAAAAATGGCTTGAACTGGTAGTTAAGCCTTGATGCAAAACGATCAACACAGGGTTTGACGTTAAAGTGTGTTAAGATATTGTGAAAAATCTGGGGGGCCAACTTCCATTCAAGATAATCACTGAAAGTTCGTGACAGTGAATCTGCACAAGAATTATGAACACCGGGAATGTGGCGTGCAATCAACCAGACCTTGTTCTTCATGCACCAAAACCACAACCACCTTGCCAAACCATTTAGTTGTTCTGAATGGCAGCCTCCCATGGATGTGATTGATATATGCTATTGCCACGGCATTATCTGATATAACAGAAACTGTTCTACTATGAACGAGAATGGCAAATGACATAAATGCATACAGAACTGCCAACCTCTCCAGACAATTTATGCCGCATGGACTTTCACTTGAAGTCCATCTACCATTAGTTGTCACGCCAGCCTTAGGACATAAGGCCCCACGTCCTTCAGATGATGTATCAATCATAAAAATCACAATATCTGCAACACGACGCAAAATTGGCCTATAGCTGGAGTAGAGGTTGTTTATCCACCAGTGTATGTCAGATTTTGCCTTTGCAGTTAAATGCATTCGTGCATGATAATGTTCACTATGTATTTTCAAGGCAAAGTCTTTAGAAATTACTAAGCTTCTATAGAATATAGGCCCAAGGGCACTGAAGGAAAACAAAAAAACAAAAACTAGCTTCCCGATAACCTGTGACACAAAAAAGAAGGGTTGGATCAGTTTGGTTGGAAGCTTAGTGCATGCACCCACAACCGACGCTGCTTTGTTAAGAGGCAATCGTAAGATAATTCCTTGGAATTTATTGTGAATCCTAAAAGTCTAACTCTTGGGTGGTTGAGAAGCGCGACTTTCCCTCATTCATTATAAACACAAGTTCATGCACCAGGTTACACCTTCCACAAATGTTTCTTATGGTATTCGTCAACTGTGTCTCCAATAAGGAGCGGATCATCGATGTAGTTCGCAGAAATGTGACCAATATTGCGCATAGTAGCCACCACTGGTTTCATAACTTAAGTAAATATTCGTGGTGCACTGGCCAGCCAAAATAGGGCCTATAGGCAGGTGAACTGCAACGTTTTGTCACGCCATTGGAAACGTAAAAACCTGTGATGCTCGGGAGCCATTGCGTCGTATGAAGAAAAAGTAGCATTTGGTTTTACTACCATTTTTGAAGCATTTACTCGTGTTTGTATGAATAATAATGCAAACGCAAAGAAAAGGGACATCCAGGGTGCCAAACCAAATTAAGGGATAAACTTCCAACAAACTTAATATACAAAATAACTTACAAATTATACATGACTGGTAGCAAGCCGTCCAGCACGGTGTGTCTCCAGTCACAGTTGGCACAGAAATGCCTCACTCATTCCTGGAGACACCAACTTAAGTAAGGAAACTGTAACAAAGATCATTCTTTTGCAATAGACCCACGCCTAGTTAAACTACAAAAGCAACAAAGAGACTATATAAAGAAAGAATGGGTCTGGCCAGAGTGGCCAAGACCACTCTGGCACTCCCAGACCCACACATAGTTAAAGTACATTCATACAATAGAAAAAGCAACCCTGGATGAGAGTTATTTCCATTACAATACTCTTGATCCAGCTCTTGATCACCTTTGCCATTAGCAACTGATGATCCGTATCGCAATCAGCCCCTGGATGTGTCCTGCATTTCATGACATTTTATATCTATCGTGCATTGATGAGCATTCAGTAAATCTGATATCTGATTCTCCCATCAGGCGCAGTCTACTCGGACGTACGTCAAGGGTGCTGATCAAACATGGTATTCATTACGCAGAGATGATTTTCTTGACAAAACTCAACAAGCCTTATCCCTTGCTCGTTTAGGCTTCCAAGGCCATTGTTTCCCATCACCTCCTTGCTGATAGAAGTACAACCAACTTTTGCATTGAAATCCCCTAGTACGACGAGATTATTAGATCTTGGGGAATTGTCAATGAGGCTCTGGAGATTGCTAGAGTGTGCTTCTAACTCTTCGTCAGCTGCATCACTACTCGGTTAATTAGTTGACAATGATACTGATTAGGGGAAAGGCATGGCTCTACACCGTTGAACTGAATATATGAGGATGAGACGCTGGGAGCATACGAAAGAAGAAGAATGATACTGATTGAGTAAGGTTAACAGTGTATGCGGAAGGACAGAAGACGATCGATCATCGGGTTGTATCCTAGTACTGCATTGGCTATTCTATGAGGAAAGCAACACCTGCCCTCCCCCTTTCTCAGAGCCAGAACAATACATTGCCTAGGTGGCCTTTCTTGCAACATAACCTCTGCCAGACCACCTAACAGCGGTTAGTTCAATCATGTCGCAGCCGGTTCTCATCTTCAATGAGTAGATGAAATTTCCCAGTACTTCGCAAAGTGCGAACATTCCAAGTATCAGTGTTCATGCAATGTTTATTCCGTCTGAGGGGTGTTTTTCCAATGCTGGTTGCATCAAACTCCAAGATTCCTGATAAAAGCTTTCCCTAAAGCCGTCATTTTGACCAGTAGTACATGTACTTGCAGCACCATCAGTCTCTTCCCCATATCAATATAACTGTCGTCCAGCCTGTGGGTCCCACAGTCTGCGGCAAAACCCTTATCAATCCTTGAGTGTGTCATAGAATCATTAAGTGAAAGTGGTTGTCATGGAGGAAATGATACTGTTGAGTGATCCTCCAAATCCTTCTCACAGCGAAGTGGTCACATACTGACCAGTTTGCCCAGCCGTTGGTGCAATTACAGGACTCTTCTGCCTGCGAATGGATATTATATGTTGGCGTGAAGGTTCCTCCGCCAATGCAGTCATCCAACACCCTGCTGCCAGGGTCTTCACCGTAACCCTAGTTCGGGGGGCTTACATTGTCCTTGCCTAAGGGACACCTGCGGGGGCCATGGGAGTATCAGCGAAGGTTAGGAGGCACTCCATCATCCTCAAGGATGGACTCCTTCACCTGGATGCAGTTTAAAGTCTTGCCCGGGACTTGTCATCTACAACCAGTCAAACTACAACCAGTTTATATTAGCATCATAACAGTAGCTTTCCTTGGTCTATCGAAGGCAAGATGGGGTAGTGTTCAACCATGTCAGTCAGTCCGTCCGTAATGCGAAGTCAGTCCTAACGAGACGGTTATTTGGCCAGATAGAGCTGTCTCAACCGTTATCTTTGAAAAAGCGCTCAGGATACTAAGCGGTTTATCACCCTGTCGCGTGGTTTGTCTGCTCTGCAATCTTAACAGTTTTATACGAACGCACTTTGGTCCCCATTATGATACGGTATGAAGCACAGTTTTTACAGCCACCTTTTCAACTTTAATACAAGTAAGCAGATACATGCTCAGTTTTACATGCATCATCAGTACCCTAATTTTTCTTTTCGATTTCCTTTTGAATCTGTTTTCAGCACCCTTGGCCGCTGCAATAGCACGCAAGTTTGGCAACCGAATCGTAGTATTTTTCGGCGGCATGCTCTATGGAGTTGGTCTAGTAATGTCAGCTATGGTGCGACATGTGGCCATCTTGGCTGTTGCGCTGGTGGTTATATCTGGTGAGTAATACGCGTGGAGCAGTAATTTTAAAAACCTTATGGAAAGCAAACAGCAAACAGGTACTTTTTGGGGCCACAGCGTTGTATAAATTATTTATTTATTTAATTATCTCTCACTTTCTCCTATCCTATCTGATATAGGTTCTGGGGCCGTTTGTACAACGTGGCCAGCACACTCAGAACTAGCTTTCTACTTCCGGGAGAAGTATGCCCTCGCTGCCTTCGTGACGCTGACGGGATCTCCTGTCGGTATGATGCTGTACGGCCCTGTAACTCAATTCCTTGTGGACGTGTACGGTTGGCGAGGAGCAATGCTGCTACTGGGTGGGGTCAGTTTCCATGTCGTTGTGGCAAGCATGTTGGTACGAAGACCGCCAGCGTCTTACTATGCAGTAGAAGGCAATGTCGAGACAAGTGATTGTGCGAGTGAGGAACCAGGGAAGTCATTGAGATCCAAGGTCTGGAATGCAGTTGTCTCGGTGTTGTACCTGGATGTCTTCTATAGCATCGAATTTATAATTTTGTCCATCATCAGGATGATTTACAGCATTGCCTATGGTGGAGCCGTTGTCTACATCGTGTCTAATGGTTTGGCACTGGGATTGAGCGCTCGCGAGGCGTCGTTTTTGACAACGGCTTGGGGGATTGGGAACTTGGCCGGACTGGTTGTGTCTGCTTTGGCTTTACACATGAAGACCCTGTCGGTCCGCGGCACTGTAGGAATAGCTGCGATCGTGAGTGCAGTGGGTTTAGTTCTGGAGCCCCTTGTGTCTAACGTCATTGGTCAGAATATAATTGCATTCATCGTAGGAGCCGGGATGGGAATTGCTGTCGAAGCTTTATTTGTCATGACGAGGTGTTTACCATTCGACGACAACGAATTTGTCAATGTGCTAGGCTGGCAATGTTTACTGAGTGGGTTAGCAGTCTCAGTCGGCGATGTTATTGCAGGTTGGTCATACCAGTGATGAATGTTTGCTTCAGTTAAAGCTCACAGTCATAAACAATGGTTTCAGTGATGCTCCCATATCACTTCTTACGAAATACCCAGTTTCTTTTTTAATCGATGTTTTGTGGCCATCGAAGATACTGGCAATATCCCTCTCCCAGCAGTCATTAAATAAGCGGGCCCTGATGAAAACAATCAAGAAGTTGCAGTTTTTGTTTGTGGTAAACTAAGAATTATGCGATCTTGCCAAAGAAACCAATCCCCAGTTGGTCCTAAAGGGAAAGTGCACACATTAGTGAAATCGCGACTTTTGTACAAGAGTTTGTGTGATCAGAGAAAAAATCCATCCTTCGTAATTAATAATAAATCTGTCTCTTGTCTCATTCTTCCTCAGGTTGGCTTTATGACGTGACTGGCAGTTTTCACGCGACATTCTTCTTATACAGTGTTGCCATGGCAACCATCTTATTGTGTCTTCTGTTGGATATTTTTTGCGCCTCAACCGAGTCATCTAATCAAAATGGATTGATGGTCCTTATGACTTCGTTATTCCGGAGTGACTCAATTACACGCTTCAAGGCTTCGCCAATTCAGCCGTCTATCGATTCATTTCCATTACATAGAAGTTGAACTGTTCAACAAATGACAGTTTGAAAATCAAATCTTAATGTGAACGTTTCTCCAATACCAGTGTAAATGCACGTAGACGAGTTTGCCACATTCACGTACATCAACAAGCCAATCAAAAGACAGCTTGTGCAAGTAACAACCACGATCTCACTAGTTATCTTCCACCTCCTTTTCCACCCACTGTCAGATCAGGTAATCTGGTCTTCCCAATTTTACATGACAACATAACTTACCCTAAGAGCACCACTGTGTTGACCATGACTTGTACACTGTTAAAAATTGTCTTGTGCTGCAATGCGTTTTCTGTAAAATGTATCAGTAATTAATAGAGAAGCTTTGTAACGGACGTACTTCGTGACTGTACTGTCATTTTTTGCGTCACAACAGAACCCCGTAACAAGCATTCTGAATGTACCATTTGCTCTGTAACATGAATTAACATAAAGTTGCATGTTGACTTTGGTGCACAAAACCACTTTCATTAAAGCTGGTTTTGCCATTTTTTTCGCGTTTCCTGTTATTGCCAGTAACATGTAATGTTCTTGTAGAGAAAGAATTTTATTTTAATAATCTTGCGTGCCAAAAAATAGGAACTGCTGAAACAAATATGTGTTTAACCTGCCACCCTGCCAACTTGGACTAAATTCGTAAGAAAAAGCAATGCACATAAAAGGAAGCTATGTGCCACCATAGATTAGTCGAGTAGCGATTGTGATAGTACTGCGTCTTTCAGGTTAGGAAATATGTCTTAACACATTAAATGAAAATCAAACGTGTCAGTGTCATCAATCAACAGCATAGGTAGGCTCCCTCAACCTTGCAAGCAGCCTCCTTCAACCTCGTCTAAGTTGCTTATTGTTTTATTAAAAAAAAATCTTCAATCTAACAAATAAAATCCTGTTTATGTACAAAATGAGCCTCTGTACATAAACATGACATTTTGTAATAACAACCGACTGGTTTTCTTCTGTCAAAAAGCTTTTGAATTTTTCTCCCTTGTGTAAATTTTTTCCACTGGTCAGCTTTGTTTCCACGAGGAAGCAAAGAATTAGTCACAAAACATGCATTTTACACAAGCTTTTGATATGCTTTTTGCTATTTTGAATGTAGAAAACCAGATGTCCACCTTTGAGACGCCATAATGTAAATGCATGTACATGTATTATGCGTTCATATTTGATTCTACCATAGAACACTAATCACCAAAGATCCTGTCCTCGATGTGAGTGTTTGTGGGTTTGTTTTTGCATTCATTCGATTGAGGTCTTCCAAAAACTTAAAGCACGAACAAAAGGGGAAACAATAAGGGTTTCCTGGTTGCAAGTAAATATTTCTGTGTACATGTGTGAGTAGATGTGTGGGGAGCATTACTCATATTCGTTCCTCCCAGTGGTGTATCAATCAGGAGAGTTCAAGGATGTTACCCCGGGGAAATGTTGCATTTTTTCACCATAGGAACTTGAAGCGCCAACACGTTACAAACAGTTCTAGCTTCCTTTTCATGCAGGGAGAGGTCTTTTACGGATGAAAAGACAAAGAACACCATATTTCAACACTATGCTCGCAATTTGTTTGACGCATATGGAAGAATGTTAATAAGGCACTCTACCACTGACCAATAGACGCTTTGTGCGGCAGCCATCTTGCAGGGCAGTTCTTTTATTTTACAAGGAAATCTCTTTTGTGCATACTCTGTGTGGAACAAATCACTGGCCTGCAAGATGGCAGCCCTGCAAACCCTTCTGAAGTTCCAAGTGCATTAACCCCAACATCTGTTTGGCCAGGACGTGAAGGCTTCTGGGGGCTGTCGCCAATTCATTTTATTAGGGCAACGGCAGATGTGTGTTCCTCAAGCCTGTGGGAGTCAAATTCGTGGTATTCTAAAGCGGACAGGCAATATTGTGGTCAAACTTTCAAACGCCATGGTTTCAATTTTCAAACTTCAGGGTAAAGTGGTGGACATTTTTGAACCAAGGCAAGTCTCAACGGTGCCGCCTTGCAAGTACGGGGACGTTTATTACCGATTGGTCGAACGAAACTTACAGTGCAAGTTATCCTTGAATCAGATCCCAGTATTCTCGAAAAACCTATTTGGTTTCTTTTTAGTGAAAAGGTACACGGCTGTCTGACATGGCTTGTAGTATTACAGTTGAATAACTGTCTTTACAAACTGGACTGTTTCTCTTCTTGTAGCCTTTGCTTCGAATGGACCATTAGGTATTTTATGTCTATGTTAAAATATTTCCATCAACTACCTAAAATATTTCGAAACAATTAAAATAATTTTACAAGATAGGATAGATGGCAAAACAATTAATAAATACGAATAACACAAAACTAAATGCCGTAAAATGTAAAAAGCAAACCGTGATGTTTTAAATAAAACAGACCACAGATTTCACATAGTAGAGTTTTTGTCATTTGAATATGACGCCGCGCCCACATGGTTGCACTGAACTTATTCAAACTCCATTAAAAACACGGTAAATTCAAAGTTTGGAGCCTCGTCGCGGGCAACCGGGTCCCTGAGGCCTCTCAAACAAAACAATTTGTTGTTTGGTCCTTCAGATTTCATTTGAATTTCAAATTTTAGTAGGTTAACCTGTTAATTTTTTTACATATACGCCCAAAACAAACTCACCCCCCCCCAAAAAAGCGAACGTTCCCAAGGCTTCTCAGCGGCCATTTTTCAAATGACATTCCTCAACTTTTTTTGGCTCTTCTGACAATTTTTCAATAACATTTTTGTCTGCTTTGCCCCCAGATAGGAGCCCCTGAATCCATACGGATGGTGCTGGGCCACACTTACACAATCTCACAATTTCGTGGCCCACACAGACTCCTCTTTTTGTAAGAATCTGCAGGGGTACTTTTCGGCGCCTTTGCCCGGCGGTGATTTTTTCCTTGAATTGGGACAGTGCACCCACATCCAACCAACATGCACGAGTAACACACAGTACCGACAGGACGCACGGGAAAAAGGTGGCGCTAATTTCTCCGATCTGTTATGAATATGTATTGTATGTTAAACTACGTGGAGCTTCCAGAGCGAGCGTCGTGGTTACATTGGAGTACGTAAATACCACCAAACAAACGATAAGGAAATGTCTAGATCCCTGTTCCATGAGTACCTTTTCCCTTAATTCGTTCGATTGGAACCAGGCGGTGCAGGACATACAGGGAATTTTATTCCGCTAACATGGCAAACTCACTGTGCACTGCGTGCATACTTTTACTCCATTTTTGTGTGACTGTGCTTGCAGGGTAAGAATTTTAGATTTTGGATTGTACCAGAAAGTTCAATGGACATGATGGATGTTTATTTTGTGTTTTTTTCGGAATCGGGTTTTCTTATTTCCTCGAGCAAGTTGCTGACTAGGCCGGCCGTACATTACTTTTATACTAGCCCCACTCGTGTGGCACGGACTCACTCCCGCTCCACTCCATTAGCCACACATCCGTATACGCAATTTCGTGTCGGCGTACTGAAAATTTTCGGCGCACCCACTTATCAATTTCTTTTGCTCTCATAGATGATCCTTGGCCTCTCCGCTTTCATTTATTGAATGATTTCACTCACTTTGTTTCGGTATTTTCCAGTCTTTTTGCCTTCACCCATGCAATCTCAGGAGCTCTCTCTCGATCTCACAGTCGCCATCTGTAAAATAAGGTCGTTGAACATTATGTCACTTGACCCCTCATCGTCTCGACGGCTGTTCCATGTCGAGACTTCTAAACTGCTGCCAAAGTTTTGGAAGAGTTGGTACATGTAGTATCTTATCGCTCAGTCCGTGTATTAGATAGGCCTATGTCTTGACATGGAACAGCCGTTGAGACGATGGAGGGTCAAGTGACGTAATGTTCAACTGTGAGAGCGAGTCCGTGCCACACGAGTGGGGCTAGTTGTACATAGCCATAAACACGGCCATCTCATGATCTGACGATTGTCATATATTGGCATATCCCGGCCCCTACTTCCAGAACTTTAAGGTTTACACAAACCTTGTAGATAGCTATATGTGTATGTACAAACTCCCATAAACACATTTTGTCTATTTCGATTGTGTCAACTTACTCTGCTATTACAACCTATTTGTCATGTTTGTGCAACAAACATTTCATAGCCTATAGATAGTACAATGTCTTCTTGGTGGAGTTAGATGCCTGATGGGGAGGTTATACTTCAAGAACTCTAAGTCACTAACTCGGTGATACTCCGTGTGACTTAGGGGAGACATGGTTTACATGGCGTCGTAACGCTATGGAATTTTGGAATCGAATTTTTGTGGTGAAATGGTTCACAGCCGTAACAAAGCTATTAAATCAAATTTCCCCTGTCAGCATACCTGCTTAATCTATACCTCCTAAAAAGGGGATAAAAAAAGTTTCAGAGCATGTGACAGAGTATTTTTGAAAAAAAATGAGATTTTTGCTCACCAATTTCTCGCTTCCACCTGTTGACTGTTGCTCCATTCATGCCGTTAGTGTTTATCAGACTGCGCATGCGTTGAGCCCACCAATGACCGCGCTTGCTCCACATCTTGGTTCGACCATTGTCAGTGGCAGGGGATGACATCTTGTGTTGTTTTCACCGTGGGACTGTCCTAGCTGCTGCTTTGACCTGGAGACACACATCGCAGCGTGACGTGCTGCGTCGTGTGTGATGTTATCCCCGCCACCGAAAGTGGTCGAGCCAAGATGTGGAACAAGCACGATCATTGGTGGGTTCAACGCATGCGCAGTCTGATGTCACAGTGTCCGGTGTACGACCTGATTTGGTCACAGCCACTGGACGTGGCACCATTCAGAAAGCAGTCATTGGCATATGTGTGTGCGCATACCCCAGGCTCAATTTATGAATGATGCACTTGGCTTGTGTGTTGTGACATTAGTTTTTGACAGTAGAATAACAGATTTTACAATAACCCTTTTGTTCAGTTTGTTGTTGTGTTTGTCCTTCTGTTTACTTGTAGGCGGGATTTCTACAAGATTCTGGGTGTCCCCAAGTCAGCCTCCAAAAATGAGATTAAAAAAGCATATCGCAAGTTGGCCATGCAGTACCACCCAGACAAGAACCCGGGCAACGCAGAGGCAGAGGAGAAGTTTAAGGACCTAGGAGCAGCGTATGAGGTAAGATAAGAAAGGGTTCACCAACCAAGTTTCCAGGGGCCAGTGGTGAATTGAACTGGGCCTTAGAAATGAGAGGATGCGTCTGTTAGAGTTGTAATCGAGTCAGTCACACATCACTGCAAGTCACCACAAGTCAGTCACAAGTCACTGCAAGTCAGTCACAAGTCCACTGCAAGTCACCACAAGTCAGTCACACGTCACTGCAAGTCACCACAAGTCAGTCACACGTCACTGCAAGTCACCACAAGTCAGTCACACGTCACTGCAAGTCACCACAAGTCAGTCACAAGTCACTGCAAGTCACCACAAGTCAGTCACACGTTATTTAGCCACAAGTCGTTCGAAAGCTAGGTAAACGAAGTATGACAGCGGCATTCCTTTGTTATTATTCATCTCGTTAGTTCCGCACTGACTTGTTAAATGACTCGTGAGTTGACTTCTGGACTGACTAGTGACTGTTGATCTACAACTCTGACATCTGTGGCATTCTTCAGGTGTTCCAGGGCTAAATTTGGAGTTCCTTACAGGCTTTGCTTGCCCGTCTGCCAATGGTTCCAATTTTTGGAATCATTTTGCGTTGTGAGTTTTTCAAAGTCTGACATTGGAAGGTTCTGATTTCAGAAGAAGAGCAGAAATCTGAAAAGCTTCTTGGACATTGTACACTGTTTGGCAAGTTTGCTCATCCCTGATCAAATTGTAGATCCTGGGGCATGTTGATCTTGGAGAACAGGAGTGAAGCACAATATATGCACTGCATGGGACTAAAGCATGAAATTATTGTTGAACAGGTGCATGGTGACGTGGACCTCAATATTTTTCACTGAATATGTATATACAGGACTTCATCACACTTGACCAGTCCTTATCAGTCTGTGGAGAAAAAGAAGCTGTTGTATCTATATATTTTGTGCTCTCTGGTCCTCCGACCAGATTTCAGCTGTGTACATCATGCATTCAGTGATCAAGTTATGACAAAGGTACTCACATGGAGCACACACTTTTTGTTCCGCTACCTGAGTTTCCAATGTGAGCAGATACAGCTGGCAGTGGCGTTGCCACAGGGGGGCTGCCCCCCCCATTCCCAGTGTGTCCCCCCCCCCACTACAGGAAAAAAAAATGGATGAATGCATATTGAACAAGGCAACAAAAACTTGCCCCCAAATAACCACACCACTGAAAGCTAGTGCCCCCCGTAAGATGCTGGTGCCCCTTTTTGTGCCCCACCCACTAGTAAAAGCCTAGCTACGCACAGATAGCTGGAGGAGAGAAAGGAAACAGACTTAGTCCCCAAAAGTCATCCTGCTCATTTTTATTACTGGTGCATTGAGTTTCTGGTTCAAATTCCTCTTTATTCAGTCAGTTTGCTAAGTTCACCTGTAAGTTCTTTCAATTCTTGTTCTCTCAGGTGCTGACGGATGACACGAAAAGGAAACAGACTTTAAGTCCCCTGCTCATTGTTATCACAGATGCATTGAGTCTCTGGTTCAAATTCCTCTTTAGTCGGTCGGTTTGCTCAGTTCACCTATAAGTTCTTTCAATTCTTGTTCTCTCAGGTGCTGACGGATGACACGAAAAGGAAACAGACTTAGTCCCCTGCTCATTGTTATCACAGATGCATTGAGTCTCTGGTTCAAATTCCTCTTTAGTCGGTCGGTTTGCTCAGTTCACCTATAAGTTCTTTCAATTCTTGTTCTCTCAGGTGCTGACGGATGACACGAAAAGGAAACAGTACGATAGACACGGAGAGGAAGGAATCAAGGAATCACACGGACACGGCGACCCATTCTCAAGGTTTGTTGAATTGAAAGAGAAAAAAAACACACTAAAAAATTAGGATTATTTTGCAGCAACAAGTGAAAGGTTAAAGAGTTAGATACATGCATGTGGAACAAAGCAAGGTGGGCTTCAAGTCCCGGAATCCTTTAACCCTAAAAAGCTTCCCTTTTTCACATTTCACTTTTTTTTACATTTTCTTGAGTTCATCAAAGGAAGCCAGTCAGAGAAATGAGCAGGTACCAGTAGCCATGTTGGCATAAGGTTTTTCATCCTAACCAGGGAGCACGGAAAAACTGCTCTTTAAACTTTCAAATCAAACGCGCCTATACATGTTAATTTCTGACAAAGCTGGTCTTTTGTTTGTGTTTGTTTTGTTTGCAGCTTTTTTGGTGACTTTGCACATTTTGGATTTGGAGGCCACCAACGAAATCCAGAAACTCCGCGAGGGGACGACTTTACTGTGGACTTGCCTGTATCATTAGAGGAACTTTATTCCGGCAATTTTGTTGAGGTGAGTGTAGATGGGCTCCAGGATACTGACAGATTGATGCAACATAGGGGTCGAAGTTCACGGACAACCAGGAGATGGAATTGAACCAGATTAAGGACTTTGGGAATGTTACAAGTCCCAGAAACCCAAAAGGAATCTTCAAATGTTCCTAAATCTTGGATAGTTCTGGAATTCGTAGAGGTCCTTGAATCATGAGAGACTCTTGAATCCTGAAAATTTGTGGCATTCTGGAAGGTTCTGAAGTGGTTCTAGTACCCTATAAAGTTCTTGACTCTGGACAGGTTCCAGAAATCCTTTAAAGTTAAGTAATCCTACAAGTTGGTTGTGAAATTATGAAGTGTTGAAGAATTGTTTGAGGCTGTGGTGTTTTCTACCATCTTCAAGAAACTGTTCTCTTGTTTTATCCAAATTACACCTATTCTGTCAAAATGTTTCATCTAGATTTTAGTGTCATTTGGATGGAATCAAGACTTTAGATCCTACGTGCCGTTATTGCTCTTAAGCCCTGTTCTGAGGAGCACAAACTGTAGTACTAGATTCTGTCAGATTTTCAAACAATCATTTCCTCCTTTTTCTAGGTTGTGAGGTACAAACCAGTGGCCCACACAGCCCCGGGTACCAGGAAATGTAACTGCAGACAGGAGATGCGAACGCAGCAGTTGGGACCAGGGAGATTCCAGATGACACAGCATGAAGTGTGCGACGAGTGCCCACGAGTCAAGTAAGTCCGTGAGGTGTACCTTTGGTTCACGTCGGCGACCCTCAAAGACACTTTGTTATGCTGAGATGATGCATAACTTCCCCTTCCGTGATAAAAATATGTAATCAAGATATTTGGGAAAAACTTTGGAACCCTTTAACCTTGCTTTTTTCCCCAAAGATGCCTCGTGTCTGCCGGTTTTCAGCACCAAGCCTTATTTGCACATTGTACTTTACCTCAAGCATGGGTGCATAAGATGCCAAAGACCCTATCTCCAACAGTTGCTTTCAAAGAGAATAAATTAAGTCTACATGGCCAAAAATTATGTTGAGGCCTCCAACAAAAAAAGGGTTTAAATACTTTCTGGGGAGGAGGTTGGAGGCAGGGAGAGGGAGTAAATGATTTGGTTTTCATTCAATTTGGTTGCACATCCTCTGCAGGTTGGTGAATGAAGAGAAGTTGTTGGAAATTGAGATCGAGCCAGGAATGCAGGACGGCCAAGAGTATCCATTCTTAGCAGAGGGTAAAACCTTTTCTTGTGTGGTTTTTCCAAAAAAATAGCATAATAATGAATAAATACGGTTTTTAAATCCATGAAGAACTTTCATTATGGTCAAACTTGCCAAATGTTTTCAGGATTGCGGAGAAATGAAAACCATGTTATTGGAAACAATCTCTTTTTTTTTTTCAGGAGAGCCTCACGTAGATGGTGAACCTGGTGACCTCCGGTTTAGAATCCTTGCAGAAAAGTAAGAAGTGCCCCAGACTTTTTTTTTTCTAAAACATGAAAGATGAATCTGGAAAAGAGGAAGGTTAAATTTGACGACAAGTCTGGAGCAGTTTGCACTTTGCAGGATAGTCATGTTGACAACCAGAGCAAAATCAAAAGGACCCCTTGAACTGCTCCAATCGACTCATGTTGAAGCTGGAGACACAATGGACAATGAGGAAAGAAGCTTGGTGTGCTATGCAGCCAGAAACAAGGCCACACTTTGTAGCCGTGGTCATGTCGTTTTTTAATTGAAAGTTTATATTCAACTCTTTTTTTCAGGCATGATCGCTTTGAAAGACGCGGTGATGACTTGTACACAAACATCACAATATCCCTTGTGGATGCCCTTGTTGGGTTTTCCATGCAATTTCCCCATCTTGATGGTCACATGGTAAGATTTATGTGCTTGTTCTGATGAAAATTTTGGACAAAATCATCTTCAAAGTCCACAGTTTTCAAAATACTACACCTGTTTTAAGTTGGATGCTTAGACAGTTGTCCCGTTATCCTACAGCCTGCTTTAGTTGGGTGAAAACGTGTCTGAAATTGTTTTTTGTCAGGTCAAAATTGTACGAGAAAAGGTTACTTGGCCAGGTGCCAAGATGAGGAAGCAAGGGGAAGGAATGCCCAATTATGAGAACAACCATGTCAAAGGAATGCTGGTAATCACTTTTGATGTCGAATTCCCCAAGGGTGACTTGACCCAGGAGGACAGAGAAGGTAAGTCACAGAAATGTTACTGACAATGCTGTTTGCCTCGGTTGTATTCTCAAACTGAACCGAGTACCTCATGAGACTTTTTCCACACAGGAGGCCCACCTCACTTGAAGTATTCATTAGTCTTACAGGAGCTGACCTCATTATGAGGACAGGCAATGACCTCAGGCTGAGATTTCATTGGTTGCGTTTGCAGCCAGGCACTGCTTTTACTGCATTCTGATGGGCCTCATTCTAAAGAGTGTGAAATTCTAAAGAGTGTGAAACTCGGTATTCCCGTGTCACATGTTTTGACATGAATATTTAAATGGCTTGACGCCACACTAGAGGTCATGACAATCGTGCAATGGTTGGTCTCTAACCTTGGGAATGGAAAGGGTTAAGATAAGAAGTATAGAGTACTGAAGTGAACATGTCATGCACACAATTATGTGTCCAAAAGGCATTAGCCTAAGAACCAGAACGTGAACCAACACACGCGTGTACTCCATTCGTTTGCAGTACACTTCCTGGTGCAAATGTTATGAATAGTACTCTATAGATTTCTGAAACACCCTGAAACATTTATTCACTGCATTGTGTTAAGGCTGGGTCAATTCAAATAATTCACCATTCCAATATTTGACCTTCAATTTGATCGCATATCTGAATATTTGGTCGCACCGACCAGCAGATCGTTGATGAACAAACCATTTACAAACTCAGTTGCAGTATTAACACCCACAATTGTCTATTGTGATCAATATAAGGCTTGCCCTGTTGAAAATTTCTATTCCTTTTGAATTGTTTAATGAATAATTTACTTTTAAATCGTTGTAAGATTCCTGACACTTTTCATTTGAATCTGCTTGAAAAAAGCCTCCATGGTGCAATTTGTGTCATTTAAAACAAAAGACAATTTTCTCTTTTCATGAATTTTGCATTTGAATATTCAAATTTGAAAGCTAATATTTGAATATTCGACAAGCGATCGAATATTCAGTTATTCGGCACAGCCCTACATGTACATCGTATCTGATTAATGTGTGATTATTTTCTTTGTTTCTCCTCAGGTATAAAGAAACTATTGAAGCAAGAATCCAAACAAAACATTTACAACGGTCTTCAGGGTTACTGACCCTGGTCATGACCTGTTTTAGGTATCTTAGTAGATGTTTTTTTTATTAATTTGATAATTGGTGGGCAACATTCAAACTGAAAGCTAGCCTGGATTTTACACGGCTCCTTATTTGGGAACCTTGTGCTTGGTCGGATATGCCTAGTGCAAGCTGTGTTTTCAAAACGTTGAGGAAAATTCATAGAGAAGCTCTGTACAGTGTGGGTTGACCTCTGACCAGATTGGTTTTAAGGTTATTATAAAGTACAGGTCCTAAGTATGTTCCATGTTTCAAATATTTGGAAGAAGTTTGTTAATACTTTGTAAACCTTCAATATTAATCATACTTAACAGATTAAAAAAAGAGGACAGGCCTTTGGAAATATTTGTACAATTTTGTAAACCTTGCTTTTTCTTCAAAACCTCAGTTCGGTTTTTTCTATTCTAGTACTTTTCTTCGGGATGAAAATTGACTTTTGAGATGCTTTTTTTGTGGTTCTGCGGGTAAAAATTATTTTGGAAATTTTAAAATTTGTTTTGGTCATCGATCAAGAGCCCCCCGGTACTATGTTCCTGAAGAAGAAGTGCTTTTGTTTTCACTTCACCAACATTCAACTCATGCTGCTTTTTATGTTTTGCAAAGACCCCAAGATATTGCTCAACGAACATAAAACCTAACCCAACCAGAGATGCAGCTGGTTTCAGTTTAATATGTACACATTCGCAGTGACTTTGATAAGTGATGCACATTCGTTCAATGTGGCCAAAGTAGTTTGCACAGGTTTCTAACATGTCAGTGATAGTACTTGCAAGGCAAAACGTTAGCTGAACTGAAATGTGGATACCCTCTCAACATGCCTTGCTGGAGTTTTTGAGTACATGCACATGAAATGAACAAAGCCTGCATTTATCACCAATAAGGTTACTTTAGGATTTGAACTGTTTGCATTCCTGGAAGGTGTTATGTGTGTTTGTGGAAGGATTAGGCACAAGTTTTGACCCTACCATTTTTGGGGGGGGGGTTACTTTTGGAAAGAGATATATTTGGGTAACGTTTGGCAAAATTGCTAACAGTGTCCCAAATCTCATAAAACAAATTTTAACTGTCAATGATATGTCCTTTAAGTGTTACCTTTTAGATGTTACTGTCTTGAATGTTCTTTATAATGTGAACTTCATCATCCATGCAACAGTGCACTTACAGATGAATGTAGTTGTAGTTATCACGCTTTCCAATTCCACATGGTCAGAAACTTAGCAAAAAAGAAAATATGCAACAGACCTGTAGCAAAGCACATTGATTTGACTTCAGTCCAAAGACACTGATATTAAATTACACCTTATAATGAAAAATGGTATCAGGGGAGACTTGTCGGGATTTTTCTGATTTCAGAATTGTTTAAACAATCTCTTTTGGCATCTTGAAAGTCCCGAGTATACCATTAAGATGTTTTTACATACAGGAAGTGATATACAATGCAAGAAACTGGTATTTTAAGGAGAGGCGAACGCAAATGTGTATCTTGGGCCCTCAGAAATCAGATGATCATTTTGTGGATATTTTATGTTCCTCCAATCACACCCCTGTGGCATGTCTTGTTTGTAAGTTGCCAATGTTTACTTGTGTATGATGTTTACTACAGGATGAAAACTTCATTCTATTGGACATTGACACTTAGACCCGTTTTGCATAATATGAATTTTATTCACAATACATGTATATTCTTTATAATATGCATATTTAATACGAGCATAAATTACATTTGTGGTTTTAGAAGTCAAGTCCATCCTACACCATTACAAGTCGCCCAGTCCTAAGTCAAGTCACAACCTGCTCCCAAGTGAACTGTGAACTAAAACGTTCCTCCGTCATTGTTCATCCTGCTGCTTGTATTACTGGTCTCGTGACCGAACTCGACCACGACACTCGCTTTTGCTTGACAGCTTGCAGACGACTTTCTGAGAAGCAAGTGTAAAATCAAAGAAGCTGGTCACATTTGGGGCGTTTGGTTGACATTATTTACACATCCTTACGAATAAAAGTGACTTTGCTGTAGAAATCTTTGCTCTCCACAACTTCTCACACGTGCAGACACACCTTTGCAACATGGATGCACATGGGACCCTGCCGAAAAACCATTTGCCATTTCATATTAGATTAACCAAGGTCATGTACCTTAATCACAGAAAATTCACGTCTTCTATATTTAGCAGATGAATGTTATTCCGGTGTTAGAGGCTCTGATCAGGATTCAAGTCTGTTTCAAACCAACAGGAATTTCCAGTGCCAGAACGGACTTTAAAAAGTCCTCAGCAATGAACTGAGCATTTGTATGCTAGAGTCGGGATTCAACTTGGTGATATCCGACACAGAACTTGTATTCTGGTAACTTTGATAACCACTTCAACTGCATTGCTGGTGTAATTTTCTGCTGCTGGACTTTATGACTGCATGAATCTAGGATTTTGTTTTTGCCATAGGGGAAACAATTTCAGTGTTTATGACACGGAGCTATTTTCAATGGACAGAAGCTAAAATGATTATAGCAAAGACATGATTATATAACAATTCTCTTGCTGAACAAGGGTATATTTCAAAAGATGGAGCACTATTAAATGAACATTCCAATGAGAGCCTGGCTGGTTCCAATCCCAAACACCTGCTGTTTCGTCTTAGAATAACACCTGTGCCCAAATGGGAACAGTGGTCTATGACTGTGAATGCTAACTCGAGAACAGCATCCCTGGAATTCCTATTGCAAGAACACACTCAGTTCCATAAAAAAAGCATTCGAGTGGAAATAGGAACATTCTCACTTCGCAGACTTTCAGATGTGGGCCGGTTTCCCCTCTTAGCGTCCATCTTCATGCCCTTCCCCCCCCCAATCACTGGAAGGTGGTGTCCTGAGAGAATGCTCCCGCCAGCCGAAACTCCTCCTCCACCAGCACGCAGTACATCCTCTGTGGGGTGGGCTGGGAGTAGGGGGCAGGGCGGGGTGCCACCGCGCGGAAGATGAACTCCCGGCCAGCTGGCCGGGGGAAGTCCGGCACCGAGCTGTGAGTGTGGGAGTACTTAACCCTGCCTGGAGAATCCTGCAAGTCGGCTTCCACCTCGGGAAGCATGTGAGCAGACTGCATGAGGCAAAGATTTGGGGGGGGGGGCCAGGGGGAGACAGGGGATTACAAACAAGGTGAATGACATTTAGGGTTTCTTGATAGCAACCATTCTGACGACCTTATTTATCGGTAGGAAGGGACAGAAAAATATTCTGAAAGTTCTATTCAAAACTAAAACAATAGTTTAGAAGTTAATATTTATTATAATTAGATGAAATGGGTAAAATGTCTTTTGCATACCATACTTATTGAATTTTTATATTTATTTCTCGAAATTTGTCTCTGCAATTCTGCCCAAGGCAATGAATACATCTTATGTAATTAATAATGAATTCATAACTATCTTAACCCTAACCCTCCTCAGTCCTCCAACAGGTGAAGGATTGAGGAGGGTTAGGGTTAATGTTGATGCACTCAAAGCCTTCAATTCTTTCACAATCGAACAGATAGCATGTAATGACTGTGGGTGTTTTATGCCTTCTGAAACCCAAGCCACAGCACACTGTGCGACAGTCAAAATGCGCTAAAAGATGTGCATGTTACAGGTTGGTGAATATAACTGACAGGGGGCAGTATCATTCCTGGGAAAAAAATACAAAACTAGAATCCTGAGAAGAGGTAACTCAAGGTATGATGAATAAAAAAGAAAAGCTTTCCTATTTCTCATGAATTTTTAGACCAGCATATCTGACCTCCTCAAAAATGGCCAACCAAAACACTGACGGGTTTCGAGAGCCCTAAACACTACCCGGGCAATATCAACAATGGTACTATGAGGCTTGAGTTTGCGACAGAGAGACGTCTTACCCTTTGTGCGGCTCCAAACAGTTGATGTATGGCCTGTCCCACGGGACCCCTGCCTGCCCCGATCACGGGCACCTCGGGCTTGTCCATGAGATCGCTGACAAACTGCTGCAGGGCGCTGGCGTGACGTGAGGCCTCTGTGTCCGCTCTCTGGGGGAGGAACTTGGCTTTGAGGGAGAGGGAGCGGGCGATGACCTCCTCAAAGAGGGAAATCTGCTTGACTAACTCCTGGCAAGTGAGGAATGAGAAAAAGAGGGTTGTGACATGACCCCCACACGATCCTGACAAATACGCCAAAAAAACTCGACTTTCAGTTTCAAGAATAAGTAAATTCTTTAGCAATTCTCTAATGACTGGGCCTCAATCTTTGGCCACATTTTCTACAATTCCCTTTAATATTACCAACTACAAGTTCATTGGGGCCAATCGAGCGATTGAAAAGAAATACCCAAAACAGCATTACACTCACTTCGTATTTTCTGATCTCCTGGGTTGGAGCTCTGGTCACTCGCGAGGCTTTGCTCACAAGTCCTGGGAAGTGTGGCTGTAAAGAGGGAACATCCTCTACAGCTGCATGAAGCAGAGACAAATTGAGAATACGTGTGGATGTGCTGTTCTGAAAACACAGCAGCAGTCGTACATGTACGAGAGGACGTGTAAATCCGCAACCAGATTTCATGAAAGTGAATACTTGTAAAAACACTAGTATGCAGTGTAAGGTGACATTTACACTAAGACCCAGCTTTGGTAATTCCTATGGCTGCATTTACACACACTCAAAAGTGTCTCTGTCGGCAAGTGAGGACCCCCATCATTCCGCTACTGTTCGCACAAAGAATTTTTCAGAAGACCTCCCATATATTTCTTGCACGACTGTCTATCAGGTAGCCTGCGCGAATGGGGGACCCTAATGTCCTCTATCCAGGGTTCCTGCACCTAAAGGACAAATAAATTCCATGACTTTTCCATGACTAAATTATGAAAATCCATGACCCAATAATGCAATTTCTTGGACTATCCGGACTTTTAAAGTTGTGAAGGAAATCATGCATTTTATGCACTTACATCTGATAATAGATATCACACACTGAGTTTGCAAAACTCCATGACTTTTCCATGACTTTAGTCATTTTTACAAAATTCCATTACTTTTCCAGGCCCGGAAAACAAAAACAAATTTCCTCGACTTTTTCAAGACTTTTCCAGGCTGCAGGAACCCTGTCTATCGTTCAGGGTCCCAAATTTAAACACAAACTCACACACACACACTTTAAACTTAACTGTTCAACTTGAATGAAATCTGAAGTTGTTTTATTAAATAGCCTTTGTAATCCCACATAAACCAAAGGGTGTAACCATGGCACAGCCAGTAGTCAAACCACAGGGTGCAACCATGGCACAGCCAGTGGTCAAACCAAAGGGTGCAACCATGGCACAGCCAGTGGTCAAGCCACAGGGTGTAACCATGGCGCAGCCAGTGATCAAACCACAGGTGTAACCATGGCACAGCCAGTGGTCAAAGCTTAACATGGATGGTGCAAAACCCTAGATTATTCGAATGGCAGTTTTGATTTGAGGAAAAAAACTGTGGGCAGTGAGGAGAGAAAAACAAAGTGCTGCAAAAGACGAGACCCACCTGCTGTCTCCAGCCTCCTCAGGGCGGCGTGGACGATGAGGGGCAGAAGATGGAGGACCACCTCGCCTGGCCGGAGGGAGGCCAGGAAATGAAGGACCTTCTCCGCCTCCTTGGTGTCGTCAAAGAGCCGCTTCTGGAGGTGGGCGGGGACCGGCTTGGATTGAGACCACACCTCCTGCCACGTGTTGCCAGGGAGCTGGGTACCAACGAAAATCAAAGATCAATGTGTCCCCATGCACAGCACACCATGTGGTTACCATGGTTACCGAATGACAATTTGAATCACTTTTTTAACAGTTCATCTAAATTTTTAAAAGACAAAAACTATGAAAAATTATAATGACAAGATAGTTAGCAAACCACTGTGGATGTTTCAGAATGGGAGAGTGGTATTATAATCAATTTTCACAAAGGATCCATCATTAATCAGGACCCATTTCCACAGATGAATGGAACACAAGGTCGGAAAACATAGGTTTTCCTCTGGGACACTTTACACTGAAAGTGGACAGTGAAAGTGTGAAAGTTCAGGTTACACTAAGGATGGAAAAACTGTATGACATGCCAAAGTGATTAAAAACCTGTGCAAGTTTTATTTATCATGCCATGCAGAGAAAGTGAACTGTGGCTAATCAGTGGTCTTGTAATGATGACGTCACAGACTGACTGGCATGGTTGAACGCTTCCTCGTTCATGCCTTCAATTCTTCCTATGAGGAGTTACTGGTATTATGGAAAGTTAGCAACATATAAATGATTTTTGCAAACCGAATGGGTTTCCACTTCAATGTAGAATATCACGCATCAAATCGCTTTCTGTCAATGCTTTATGTTCCTACTCGTCATAGTAAATGGCCCCTCTGGCCAGGCCTACTTTACAGAGCGACCAAAAACTTACCATCATCCTCTGACTCAGACTCCCCTTGACTTTCCTCCTGTTGGCTCCGCCTTCTTCCCTGGCCCCGCCCTCTCCATCATCCATTGGCTCCTCCCCCTCATCTCCCTCCTCATCCTCATCTTCTTCATGCTCAATCCAGTCTCTGGGTGAGTACCACCTCACAAAGTCTTCCAGTTCACAGCCCGGATTTGCAGCCTGAGAAAATGCACACAAACAAACATCAGTCACAACAGTTTGTAACAACACCCCAGAAATCACTTCAGTCCTGGTACAAGTACTGGCAATATAAACCAACACCAATTAGAATTTTCGACTCATAATTGAGCTTTTTAAATGTTTAAAAGAAGGCACATATGACAAAGTTGAAACAATGAACACATAACATGCACTGGGCTGCACACAGTTAAAAAGCAACAATGCAAGCTTTAAAAGGATATCATAAAAAATAACGTTCAAAGTACACAGGTTTTAGACAATGTCAATTTTACTGAAAACTTTTTCTCTTGTGACATATTAGACTGTTATGGTAATAAACAAACAAACTCCAATTAAAAAGCCTGTGACTCTAGAAAAGAGAGGTTCACTCAGGTGCAAGAAAATGGCACTCACTGAAGACTGTATATTAGGATGACCAGTAAAGCTAGAACTTTGAGTGAATTATAAAGAACTGTAAGAAAAGTGTGATAAATGATCTTTTTATCTGTTCTGTTTACATTGTACCATCAAATGTAATACATCAACACTGTATAGGAACTGATACTATGGTGAGCTATTCTGGTCACAGAGGATAAAAATCATTTGTGATATAAGATTGCAATGCCACTTGCAATGCAGGCCCACATTGTCAAACTGTATTAGGTTCATCTTTGACCTTGGGTGCATGATTTATTCATTAGTCTTTAGGCGTTGCCTACCGAGGCACCAGTTCTCGAACTGCGCGTCCAAAATGTATCCTTATCTGGGTCACGTAAGTGCATCATGCAGTCTGTACAGGTATAATGCATACACGTGTGTGGGTTTAGACACACGCGGCTTTAACCACAACTCCTGAGATGTGAATCATGCTCGACATTTTGTTTTCTCATTGTTGGGTGTTGCAGCAGAAAGCCTCGACGAGTAAGTCTAAATCTATAGTAAAGATTGCGGTAACACCATGTATTTATCTCTTCTTTGAGTATGTGTGGTTCTGAGAAGAACCGGGGAATAACACGACGTTTCGAACAGTGTACTCTGTCCGTCTTCAGGAGACTGCCCTTATAAGACTATAAGTCTTATAAGAGTAAGTCTAACTTAACGTTGTTAAGTGACTGATTGGGAGCTGCAGTTCTGCTGCTTGGTGACAGCCTATAATTTCGGCAGAGTAGTGACTTAATCTTTCTGGTACTAAAGTTCATAAGTCTGATTATTTGCTGTGATTTTCTGCCAAAGTATAGGCAGTTTTTCTAACGATGTGCTTTGTAATGCTGGATCAATTTATGTTGCATATTGTATCCATGACTTATTATAACAAACGGATATTTCAGAATGTTATGTTAGAAACCTTGTTTTGATAAATTTTATTGATTGATTTTTATCACAGATTAAATGGAGTCAACATCCCACGGTGACAGGCGAATTTGTGTTACAAGTCTGTTATTTTGAGGGTGTTAATGAGCACAGAGTTAGGCTTATCGGCAGTTGCACAGAAACTGCAACACCACTAATGCTGGTGTCATTGTGATAAAGGTCTGGTACCTTGAATGCTTGCATGTCAGACAGTAGGCAGGCACTCTGCATCTTGGCCCTAAGCTCAGCCCCCTCTGACGAGGTGCCTAGCTGGGCCAAGACCTCAGCATGTTCTTCCAACATGTCCTCAGTCATCGGAGCTGGGTCCTGTGGTCAGTAGGTCAAAATCATTTATTATCAAGTACCATGATCTCAAGTTAAACAAACTAACGGAAAACTCAAGAGATCAAAGAACCAATCTGGATTTTCACTGATTTATTCTGGAATCTGTAAACCAGAGTTGTTGTTAAGAACTTTTGAAAATCACAACACAACATGAGACCGTCACAAGATGAATGCAAGACTTTTGATCTGAATTCAAGTCACTAGCTATTCAAATCAGCTGTGGCGAAGGTATTCCTTAGTCAATGTTTACCCTGTTAACTTGTGTCTGGTCTTGGGTCTGGTCTTGTGTCTGGTCTTGTGACTGGTTTTGTGACTGGATTTGTGACTGTCTAACTTGTGACTGGTCTTGAATCTGGTCATGTTGTTGGTCTTGTGTTGTCTGGTCTTATGACTGGTCTTATATCTGGTCTTGTGTCTCGTCTTGTGACTGGTTTTGTGACTGTCTTGTGTCTGGTCTTGAATCTGGTCGAGTGTTCAGTCTTGTGTCTGGTCTTTTGACTAGTCTCTTGTCTGGTTTTGTGTCTGGTCTTGCGACTGGTCATGTGACTGTCTTGTGTCTGGTCTTTTGACTGGTTTTAATGTCTGGTCTGGTGATGGTCTCACCTACAACACTGCTTTAGACATTAACACACTACTTCCTGCTCTACCTCAAACTATCTTAACACTTGACCCTATTGATAAAGAACATTAAAGACAATGAAATAACACAATACAATGTAATAGAATATATTGCATTACATTAGATTCCTACCTGTGTAACAGGAATATACAGGAGTTCATCCTTATTTAAGAGCTTCAAGTCTCCATATGGTCGTAGCCTCCCACTGGGTTTTTGTGACCTCGACTCATTTCCAACATCAGGGGATGTAACTTTGGCATCCGTTTCCTCTCCGACTTGGAAGTTTACCCCTCTGGAGTCTTTGGCTTCGGTCTCCCCAGCGCCTGGTTCGAGCCCATCCTTGTCAGGGCTCCCCGGGAAGGAGTCCTCGTCACACTCAAAGAATTCCTCCTCACTATCGCTGTCGCTCCTGACAGACCGCCCCTCCCCAACGGAACCCTTGGAGGCCGATCGGAACTTCTCGGCAAAGCCCTGGTCCTCTCCGGCCAGCTGGGTGGCCGAGGCATAGGGAGTGACACCATTGCTCCTATCGTTGCTGGGTGAATCCGTTCCTGGGCTCCCTGAAGCCGTATTCTGATCTGAGCTACCCCGCGTGCTTGACGCATGTTCCCCCCAAACAGTCCCGCTCATGCTCTGACGCTCCTCGCGGGCTTTCTTGCGGGATATGCAGCAATTCAGCATCTACTCAAAAATGAAAATTCAGCAGCATGTTGCCACTTCAGGAATGGCTGGAGAAATTTAAGCATATCCAATGCTTTACTTACATCAAAAACATTTACGGTCTATATTTTCCTTCAGGTATCAAATTCAAATCTTCCTTATGTTAAACAGAAACAATTTTTCCATTTTGCTATGGACAAATAGAGAGAAAATCTCCCAAAACTCACAGAAGAATTTCCTCAAATGCGAAACAGGAAGAAAATATCTTTATCTCGACTGAAAATTCTCCAAGGGCGCATGTTTACCTGCAACTTCTGATGCAGTAGGCAACAGCCCATGTTGGGATTTCCTGAGGCAAGTCTGCAGACATGAGAACAAGTATTGGAGCGGGCTTTATACAGACCACACAACCTTGAGGACATTCTAACACCCCCCCCCCACCTGCATTCTTGGCTGTCTGGTGACCAGTCATTTCAAAACCTGGCAGGCAAGTGAAGACTTTCAATATGAGTACACTTGCAACGATCTGCATCCACCTGTTACGTTTTATTGCAATGATCATTTGTGACCTGTCAAGACAAAATGAGAGTAAGGTCCCATCCCACTCTTTCATATTTTGAGGGTTCAAAGTCATATTGAAGTGGAGGTCAATTTTTTGGTTTTGTAATATTTGGAAAGAGTAACCCGTCTCCTATTTAATTCCAAATATTTGGCAGAATCACATATTCAAAATGTCACTTTCTCAGCAATTTTGACGATAGTATTATTTGTGCCAGGTCTGAAATGTTGAAACAATGTCAGGAACAAAGACGCAAAGCTGCCAGAATAATGCCACATTGTCACCTTATACTTCTACCCTAAGTGTTCCATGTACGTGTACATGCCATTGGAAAGCTCTTTTTCTGCTGAACAAAAAATACCAATATCTCAGTTTTTGAAAATTCCAACTTTCAGCTCATTTTGTGGTGACAGGTCACATTTGTAGCTCACATTCTCATGAACGTCGGCCCGTTGAGTACAAAGTAAGACAATTGGACAACGTGCCTCAATAGGATATTTCATGAGGATAATACACCCGATTTTAATAAAACTGACATAAAAATGACTATAAGCATCAGCAGAAAAACTCCAGAGAGCTTGGAATGACAAAGAATTCGCTGCTATGAAATGAGAAATGTGAGAGGTGGACTCCTACAAGACTTAAACCTAGAAAGAACTAATGCTCTATAAATCTCACAGTTAACCACTTGCTGCCAGGTGGTTTGAAAAATGCAGCGCACATAATCAGGACTTCTTCAAGATTTTCATTTTTCAAAATTCTTCAAAAATTCATCATTTTTTACATTTACACCCACACGAATTACTGTCTGGTGGCCACTCTAGTCTGATAGACAAAATCTATTGATGCCTGAGTATTTCAACCAGGCCTGCAGCCTTGTAAAAAGAGCCCAGATTGTGCGGTGTTATGTAACTTTCTGTTGTTCACGAACCTGGCACAGTGCGCTGCTGACCTCTTTTCAATAGGGGCCAGATTAGCATGCAGTGGTGCTGTGTGGCTCATCGCTGCGGTGGTGGAGCGCTTTTGTCCCCGGTGGTAATCCACTCTCACTAAATGCCCAAAACCGCGGTATACTGTTTCAAAACAAGGCTAGATTATCTCCACCACTGAGAGTGAAAAAATGTCAGTAATGCCCAGCAGCCTCATCCGAGTACGGTCTTTTGTTACAAGGCCCAGTTCCCTTTGTCCAACTTCGGAGACCCCGGCCACGCGTATAAACACACACTACCCGAAACCGGGGCTCCCCGGCAGGAAGTGGTTAATGTGAAGCCATGTCGTTGATTTGAGACAACCACTAGATTTCACCCACAGACAGGTCTTCGGACTCACCCTGGTATCAGGTACATGTTCTCCCAGCGGTACCTCATCTCCAGGACAAACTCCTGCCAGAGGTGGGCCACAGCCTTCAGTCCCCCGTGGCTGTGATTCACCACGCACATGGCTACGGCCAACTTGTAGGTGATGCTGTCTTCCGGTCCGGATTTGAAGTGGCGATACCACTCCTCGGGAGGAACAAACCAGACGGGAGAGCATTGCTTTTACAGGGCTTATGCAATGGAATTTTTTTACAACAATCCTTGAGAATGGACCTTAGGGTTCCATTTAAACTCATTTTCAGTTTTTGGTTTTTATGCTATTAAACAAAAAAGTTCATGTTGATCATTGCTGACTGAAACCTGCATGATTGTGGGCGTTCATTTAGTCACAAATTTGAATGAATCAATCACAAAATAACTGAAAACTTGCAGTTCTGGTTCCCTCTTAGACACTACCTTGACTTCTGGCTGGACATTCATGGCTTCCGTCGGATCGTCCTTCTCCCCTTCCTCATCTCCCTCACTAGCTTCATCCTGATTGGCTGCATCCGGAAACAGATGCTGACCAATGGTGAAAACAGAAGGGGAGAAATTAGGAAGAGCACAGAAGAAGCAGACACTTCTGTTTATAGAATCTACATTCTGCACGGTAACAAGCAGTTTAGACATCGGTAAGCTGAATCCCTTGTGCAACTTTACTAGAAACTGTCCTTACACCCCAAAATCCTCCATGGTCCACAAAAAACACACAGTTACATTCACTGCACCCAGACTGTCAAGGCTCCTTTCTCAGTTCTGCAATATTCTCCAATAAACCTCCTTTGGTTTTACAGCACAAATGTGCACGAGTGCTCAACAGTCACTCTTGTGCATTTATTTCCTACATGGAACACAAACATGCACAGGTTCAGTGTGTACACAATTTGTTGCCGGCACAAAATGACTCAGGGTCTTTTGTGCAGTCCTCTTCACTGCAATTGGTTTACTGCACAATGATGCACATGAAACAGTGAAGTACAGTTGTTGGGCAGCACAAAAGTGCAATCTGATATTCCTGTGAGGGACAGTTGGTGCAGTGCGCAACACAACACAGCTGTGCTTCTTTGAGGTGTTTACCAAGTGACCCGAAGAGTGACTTCAGCATAGGAGGGTTAACCACCTGTTTAGTTTTCAAGCGAACACACTTTGCACTGGCATCTCAAAAAGCTCTTACCACCAGAAGCTCGTTCAGGATGTCAACAGCTATGGGTGCCTCCACCTGCCTCTGGCGCGAGCGTATCCTGGTGCGTGCCCGACTGACAACCGAGGAGAGGGTAGGGAGATGAACCCGCCCGGGGTCGGTGAGGCGCTGCAGAGCCTGGCTGATCTGCTCTGAAGTTTCTTCAGGGAGAGAGGGAGAGAATGAGAGAAAGAATAAAGTCAGTCATCTAAAGTGAGGACACTTGCTGGTTGCCTATAATCTTTGGATACTGAGGGCGATCAGCCAAAAAGGGAACATGCTGGAGACAGCAAGCCTATCTGCTCTGTGCAGAAGGCACGCCCTCGTCAGCAAAGAAGAGAGAAGCAGGTGACCGTGTCAACTTGGTGCCCATGCCGAGATTGGATTGTACATTTCTAAACAAAACAGGTGTCGAGCATGCGTGAACCTGCACAAACACATAGTGTGTCCGACCAAAGAGACGCCACTGCTACACGCATAATTAGAACAGTTCACTGTCAAATAGTTGAAGAGGCATCTCGCAGGTGGTAATGTCTCTTAGCTACGTGAATCTTGTCTAGTAACTGAAAAACGGCAAGTCTTCTAGCAGGCAGCTGTGCAGACCAAACGTACTGCCACCGATTCCCTAGCTCAAGGCTCAAGATTTTACGTGAAGCACACACTTAGCACCAGACACTGGACCGGGCAAAATGTGGCAGGGACTCACCGTCATCGTTGTCATCAAAGGCAGGCTTTCCTAGCAGCTGGTCTGTGGAGTCTCGGTTGTGCACAAGCTCTGCAAATGCACTCAGGTACTCCCCTGGAAATTCAACAGCAGCAAATTTAAGACGTAAAAGAAGGGGAGAAATGGAGACCTTTTTGACAATGAAAAAGCCAGTCAGAAAGTAAAACCCACCTACAACTATGGAGAGCAACAAATAAGGTACCGTACAAAAACTGCAGGGTTACTCCACCGCATGATCACCAACCCAANGTTATGCACATGAAACAGTGAAGCACAGTTGTTGGGCAGCACAAAAGTGCAATCTGATATTCCTGTGAGGGACGGTTGGTGCAGTGCGCAACACAGCACAGCTGTACTTCTTTGAGGTGTTTACCAAGTGACCCAAAGAGTGACTTCAGCATAGGAGGGTTAACCACCTGTTTAGTTTTTTAAGCAAACACACTTTGCATTTCAAACAGCTCTTACCACCAGAAGCTCGTTCAGGATGTCGACAGCTATGGGTGCCTCCACCTGCCTCTGGCGGGAGCGTATCCTGGTGCGTGCCCGACTGACAACCGAGGAGAGGGTAGGGAGATGAACCCGCCCGGGGTCGGTGAGGCGCTGCAGAGCCTGGCTGATCTGCTCTGAAGTTTCTTCAGGGAGAGATGGAGAGAATGAGAGAAAGAATAAAGCCAGTCATCTGAAGAGAAGACACTTGCCTATAATCTTTGGATACTAAGAGCGATTAGCTGAAAATGGAACATGCTGGAGATGGCAAGCCTATCTGCTCTGTGCAGAAGCACACCCTCGTCGGCAAAGAAGGGAGAAGCAGGTAGAGACCGTGTCAACTTGGTGCCCCTGCGGAGATTGGATTGTACATTTCTAAACAAAACAGGTGTCGAGCATGCGTAAACCTGCATAAACACAAAGTGTGTCCGACCAAAGGGACGCCACAGCTACATGCATAATTAGAACAGTTCACTGTCAAATAGTTGAAGAGGCATCTTGCAGGTGGTAAAATCCCTTAGCTACATGAATCTTGTCTAGTAACTGAAAAATGGCAAGTCTTCTTGCAGGCAGCTGTGCGGACCAAACGTGCTACCACCAATTCCCTGGCTCAAGATTTTACGTGAAGCACACACTCAGCACCAGACCGGGCAAAATGTGGCAGGGACTCACCGTCATCGTTGTCATCAAAGGCAGGCTTTCCTAGCAGCTGGTCTGTGGAGTCTCGGTTGTGCACAAGCTCTGCAAATGCACTCAGGTACTCCCCTGTAAATTCAACAGCAGCAAATTTAAGACGTAAATGAAGGGGAGAAATGGAGACCTTTTTGACAATGAAAAAGCCAGTCAGAAAGTAATACCCACCTACAACTATGGAGCTAAAAAATTAGGTACCGTACAAAAACTGCAGGGCTACTCCCCACATGATCACTTACCCAAANTGAATTTTTCAGATTCTTAGCAAACAATGACCCAAAAAGATTTTAAATACAATTAATAACATTTGGGGGAACAGCTGTCTGAATTTTTCAAATTCCCCAAAAAGCTTTGCAAAGGCCACAGCCTGCTCCAAATGTTGACTGTTCTTCTGAAATCATGACAATAATATGGTTGTCAGAAAATAAATCATTTTTAAATAAATGAATAATTTTTTCAAGCACCCCATAAAGAAATTCACTGCAAAATGATATACCCCTTGCCTAGGTAAAATTAAAAGACAAACTACTTCTTTAAGACAATAAATTCGGGAAAAATAATGCCACTGCTTCAAACAAAACTGGAAAAACTGAATAATAAAATACCTGAGGTTGATTGTGCACTGCATCAAATGTTTGGACACTTACCAAGCAGGCACTGGGGCTTCTCAGTCAGGCGTAGTCGGACAGACCACTGAGGTGCTTGGGACGGGTCAAGGTCACTGTGGATTTGGTGATAATTAACATCAACAGTATTTTTGGGGGAAGATACCGGGCATATGGTTGGATCACTTTGTGCCATTTACAATGAAAACTATTGGCTTTGTTTTGTTGCTGCTATCAAAACTTTTGAGGGCCCAAGAACGAAGCTTCTTTATCATTTCATTGTATCTCTTATTTAGCTCCTTTCTTCGACAAATCAATTTGAGAAACTGATGGTTGTTTGCAAGAGCACCTGCCAGAACACAGTTTCGTGTCAAATGTTTTGAAAAATTCCCAGCATGAAATTCTTTCAGTATGATGAACACAAAGATGAACATACTGGATGTCAAAAAATTCGTCCCATCAAAATCAGCTGCTAGATTAGTTGAAATCATAATCAAAAAAAGAAAACCACTTATCATCCCAAACTGCCACCAATATTTACGTACATGCAAGACATTAAGCAACATTTGCTGATTTCAAAAACACTGGGTTTTTTAAGGGTGAATGAGAGAATTAGAGTAAGCAACCTCATCAACTTACGAGTATACGTCGTTGTCAACAATGGTATTTTCAGCTTGAGACGGCCAGGTGGCCGACAGGTGCAATTCACTGATGGGATCTTCCACTGCGCCAAAGGGGAGTGCCTTGAAACCGGGATAGCCCACTTCATCCCCAAGGGGAGAATCCATGTCTGGACAAAGCAATATGCAAGTTGCACTATACTCTGGTGAGCTCGGGAGATACCAATGTTTTTATTTACACAACTTGCTCTCTAGCTGGTTCGTTTATAATTTACAAAAAAGGTGCAGGTGTGCTAAGCTGGTCCTCTTTGTGAGGACCTGAGACCAAAGTAGGTCCACGGAATGCAAGTTGTGTGAACCTTGTGAGGACTAAGTCAGATCCACACAAAGTTTATCCTCTTTGTAAACTGTTTTAGGGGGCATCTAGAGGTATGGATTATTGCCGCAGAACGAAAAGTGAAGGGAAAAATTAAACAAATCTTTACCTTTACATCAAGAGCGTGTTCACAGTGTGAGACAATTAAAAGTCTTATCTTGAGTTTTCTAAACACCACCGAAGCAAAGGAATGTCTGCACTAGGCATATAAGACGTGTGAGTTAACTGTGTTTCACATTTGTTGACACTTTTGCTGCGACTTGATTTTGAATTTTTTAGAAAGATTGTTTTTGGGTATTTTTCTTCTGAAAAATTTGATTATATGGCTTGCCTAATTAAATGAGAACACGTGTTCAGTGCATTGTGAAAAAAAAAATTAGAAACAGACAGCCGGACTTCTTACCAGGGGGCTGAAGGGACCAGGCATACTGTGTCCAATCGTGCAGGACATAGGTAAATCTGATGGAGGCCTTGACCGGGGGGAACGGGGAGATGGGCGTGGCCTGCGAACAAGAGGGGGGTGAAATAAACACACTTATCCAGCACGATATATCAATTCTTCACCGAAAGAGACAATTTGGAGCATTCTACAGGGGTGAGATTGACCAATGATAAAAATAGCTGAAAACATCTGCAAAAAGCATAAAGAAGCTGAACTGTGAAAATCTCCTATACTTTTTTACACAGCCAGCAAGGAAAAAAAAGCTGAAATCCAAAACAAAAAGAGCTGAGATCAGCTAAAAAGCTGAGAAATCTCACCCCTGATTCTACGAAGAATACAATCTGTTCAGCATTGGGACACAAACTTCTCCAACTGGGAAAAGCCGCAGAACACCAATTACCCATGAAAGCATGCTGATTTGAAAACGGCCAATTCGGCACGAGAGCACTCTTCTGACATTGCTTGTTTCCAGCATCAACTCATGCTCACACGGAAAACTTCAATAGGAACATTCCAAGTTTGTAATACTCTCTGGCAGATACAAATCTTTGTGTGTCCACTCTTATGGTGTGTGAGGATAATCCCAATAATAGAGGACGCCAGGAAGTGGGAGAAAACTGTTGGTGTCTACCCTTGACGAAAATATGATAAAGAACGAAATGTGGCCGAAGCGACTGATGAGAGTGTGTACGAATGGCTGGCACACCAGAAAGTTCGTATTTTTCACAGCATGCCTGAAAAACACTATTACACAGTTTAATTTGTTCCCTAAAGTCTGTTATTTGTAACTATGGAATGTGACTTTTAAGGGCATAAATTCTTCGGATAAAAAAAAGAGTGAGAGAAATTCTTTACAAAATTCAATGCATAAGCATTGGCATGTACCTACCACGACATCCTTCATGAAATTGACACGCACAAAAAGGGAGAATTATTCCATGCAAAATCGAAACAAAACACAGACTCACAAGTTTGGACTTGAAGATGTTCAGCAGTCCCTCCATGTGGCTGTACTGGTGGGGGGTCCGCTTGAGGTGTACCATGTCAAAGGTCGTCCGCACGCCTGGTGCCTCGCAGATGCCCGTGTACATCCGACGCCACTTCTGCTGGATCTGGGCAAAGATGGGCAGGAGGCTAAAAGGAAAGACGAACGAATAAAGTTTAAAATTTGTTTTCTTACAGCTTCTTATTTCTGGCGTTACTTTCACGGTGGAGTCTGTTCAGGAAACGGAGGATGGGTCATGACTGCTATGGTGTGAGGGTCATATACCAAGTGCTCACGCTGGTTTACATGTTGGTTGCATGCTGGTTTATATACGCAACTACTTTTCGTCTGAATGAGCATAAATCCATAGCAATTTTTTGTTCATTTGGGCTGTGGACTGAGGATGAGATAGCCAAGCTGCCGATATTTATTATATTGCTTTATGGGCTTGATGTCTCTGCAAAGACTTTACAACAAAATTCAAATCAACTGACTACGGTGTCCACAGCCGGTAGAATTTGGAGGGCTTGCTGTCAACAGGCTCCGTGATCGAGTGGTTTTCTATACAAGTTTGATGGGGAAGTCACAGGTTCGTGACCCATCCAAGCGACCCCGTGGATTTTTTCCCCCCAAAGCTCCAAAGAATGCACTGAGCATAATGTGTTGGATAAACAACACGTGTCAAGGGCAAAGTCAAATATTCCAATTCATGGTGCGCCCAACAGCGACATTCCACTGACATTTAGTACTGCTTCATTCCACATTGGAGGATTTGGTAGGATTCAACCTTGAGAGTTTATGCTAAGGGGCAGTTTGAGGTAGTTTGGGTCAAGCCCCTGGACAAAAACGGCAGAACGACAAAAGACAATGTTGTGATTGTCATCCAGTCATAAGTCAAGCCTAATAGCTATTCAAATGAGCTGTGACAAAAGCATTCCTTTGTCACTGTTCACACTGTAACTTGTGACTGGTCTTGTGAAAGGACTTGTGATGGACTCGACTACTAGACCATCAACGGACACACAGACAATTTCTACCAGTTGGTGTTGTTGACAGCTATCGCCATGGAGCTGAGCAACAGGTTAATCTTGCTCTCAGACAGCACTGCGTCGCTGTTGGCAACCGGCGTCAATACCACAAAATGGCGCAGTCCATACCTGTAATTGTTTGAGAGCAAATTTAACATGTTGACGGTGCAGGACTGGTAAGGGACGGAGCACGTACCCCAGAACCCACTAAGCCTAAGCCATGCTAGAGAAAGTAAGCTTTATTAACCCTAACCTTCCCCAACCACACAGAATTAAACGGTAGTAAAGTGTTTCATTCTGTGGGGATAGGTCTGGTAGGCCCATAACAGCTGGCTTTTGCGGTGGGTTTGGCATACCTCAGAAAAACAAAGTCCACCAGCCTCTGTGCACAAAGTCCCATATGGGTGTTTAACTTTGTGTGAATGGGGAAGGTTAGGGCCAGCAACCCTTGGGGGGTTAGGGTTAAATTGATTTATTGCATGCAGCAAGATTATGGATAATTGCAGGATTAAATGCAACTAATTAAATTAAATTACAGGAAATTAACTGATTTTGCTAGAAGTGAAAAATTGGCACTTATGCAGAATCAGAGGTTAAATCAGAATTATATGACAGGAAATTAACTGATTTTGCAAGAAATGAAAAATCGGCACTTATGCAGAATCAGAGGCTGTGTCTGAAACAGGCTTCCAGAGCTGCGGCTACGTCTATGGTCTGCACATCTCCACGCATTTCCAATGGAGTGAAGACCTAGACCTAGCTCTCGACAACAGATTCGGATGCAGAGAGAAAACCAATATGACAGTATGACATCAGACTCTACTGTTAAGTTTTGGGCACGCTAAAGAGTCACACCCGCAATGGGCGTGGCCAGGTCTGGAACCCCGCCCATGATCATACGCTTACCATCTGCAGATGCAATGGGCCCGTGGAGGGAAGTCATTCTCCATCAGCAACATGTCCTCCATAGCCTGAGGTAGAGCATCTGACAATGGCAAATTATGACAGTCCATCAGGTAAAGGACTGAATCTAGGCTACTTTGCTTCTTTAAAACTCTCACATTTGCAATATCAAGGTTGTGACCTGCTCAAATCTGTTATTTTAATCCACAACTTCTTTTGAAAATAGGGCTTCTTCCTGTGATCACGATTTCTTCAAAATTACCTGTAGGACTTTAAGCTGTCCTTAGAACTCAGGCAATCACTTGGAAAACGACCACCACACTGAACTTTCTCTGGTCACGGGAGGTTCAAAATCTTGTCACATTTCCTGCGAGACTGTCAGACTGAGACTCATATATTTCCCCTCATGACCAAGTTCTGAAAGCAAGCCCTCTGGCAGTTGTTTTTAAGCAGCAGATGATACCCTCAAAGAATAATGATCAATGTGAGCGATTCATAACACCGTGCGCCACCAAGAGGTTACCAAGAAAAGCTACTTTTTCGCAGTGCATTGTGGGAAATGACCAACAATTTCTATTTGCCAGCTAGGCTCAATGTTTGTCAGGGAAAGAGGATTCTTAAGTGTATTTCAAAACGCAGTTTTCATCAATCCTTTTGTCTTTCTACTGTATGGAATGTTCCAATTTATAACAAATTTTCCCCAAACTGTCTACTGACATGCTCAAATGTAAATCACAGCAAGGCTGCCATGCTTTTATTGGCCAAGAACTTGAAAAATAGCCTCTTGGTGATGCACTGTATGCTGAATTGCCCCTATTCTACTCATGTTGCACCAACTTTTGATTAGTGCGGTGTACAATGGAGAATCCAGCAAATTTACGAAGGGGACGGGGCACCTAAGAAATGGGTGGAGGGGCATGGGCCAACTGTGACCCCCTCAACATCAACCAGATATACCTAGAAAAGAGAACAGCAAAGAGGCAAGTGACTAAATGGTTCGAGCACTTTCATTCAAACACTCACCCTCACTCTCCTCTTGTTGAGTTCCTTCGGCCGGTGCGGCTTGCTTGAGGCGGTGCTCTGTCACCGTGAAGCACACGGTGGCAAAGTTGATGGATTCCGACTGCTCTTCCCATTCTCCGGCGGAAAACTCTCCCTGTTGGGAAAGGTGGAACAAAAAGCGTCATGTTTTACTTATCGCACAGAACGTTATGGGCACTGAAGTTTCTCTGGAAGAGTCAGCCACAATGCCGGACTCATTTTATAGAAAGTTAAAAATCAGGTTTTTTGGAACTTGTCAGCATTGAGAAGAGATGAACAAAAATGTTACATGACACGATTACAAAATACAATCACTTTTCGTTCTTCAAAGATTCACTGAAATGTGTAGCATCCTTTCAAAATTGAAATGCTATAGCACAAAATAGACGTAAAAGAAGCTTTACAAATGCTGTAAGAATTTATTTTCAGTTTGGTTACCTTTTTGAGAGGGGGTCCCCTGACATACGTCGTCAGTTTCCAGTCATGAATAATCTGTTCCAGCCGTGCAATAAACCTACAACCCCAACCCGAACAAAAAAATACAAATCAAAAAAATAAGGCCCATCACTGCAATCAAAACATCAAGCACGACAAGGTTTCCACGGAAAAACCTGATTTCGTTGGACACAACCAGGATTCAAGTTTTGCTTGAATTGTCTGACTCAATCCAAATTGCGCAGAAGTAACCCCTCATCATTTGGAAGGAGCCATGTTGGTGGGGAGTGTTCAGTTTGTTGGTAATGACACAGTCTACATAGAGCGGGGAGGGGGGGTTGCAAGCTAGGCCCTGTATTATAAGAAAGTCTGTATTTTGCCAGCTTCGGCTAATAACTTGTAGTTGAAGATATTTAGCCAGCTACCTAACATGGTGACAGCGCCCTCTTTGATGCACACAGAGCAGGGGGTTGCAAGCTAGGCCCTGTATTATAAGAAAGTCTGTATTTTGCCAGCTTCGGGTAATAAATTGTAGTTGAAGATATTTAGCCAGCTACCTAACATGGTGACAGCGCCCTCTTTGATGCACACAGAGCAGGGGGTTGCAAGCTAGGCCCTGTATTATAAAGAAGTCTGTATTTTGCCAGCTTCGGCTAATAACTTGTAGTTAAAAATATTTAGCCAGCTACATAACATGGTGACAGCGCCCTCCTTGACGCATGCACATAAGTGAGCTTATATAAGATATTAAATTGCCATAAATGATCACGCCAGACCTGCGGTCTAGTAGATGGCATGTCATGGATGAAACGGTTTCCCCAGCTAGATTTGAATCTGAGCAAAGAAATTTTTTTCGTACCCAAAATTAAGAGAATTCTTCTATTATCATTTCACATTATTCACAAAAAATGTCATTTTCTTTTTCTGATTTGTGAAAATTTGATTTGTGGAAAAAGTCCACAATTGTAAAAATGATCTGATCCCCGTCTCACGAACACGAAGTCTCGACAACAATGTTGGAATAGGCCCTATAACCAGACTAAGATCTGTCACAGGAGAAAAGGCTGCATCCGAATCTGTTGTCTAGAACTAGGTCTACGTCTTCTCTCCATTGGAAATGTGCAGAGATGCATAGACAATAGACCTAGCCGTAGCTCTGGAAGCCTGTTTCGGACATGGCCAAAAGTCCCCAAAACAGTAATTGCACATGCCCAGTCTTTAGCCACCAATTATATTCAGAGTAATCATAGACTACCCCACCACTCCAAAAAACAGACCCCTGGAATGACTGGTTAGCATGGTGAAATCATGAGTACGACGTGAAAATTCCACGAGAAGAGCATTAAGCCTAGTTTGACCTCTCACCAGCAAAGAGGTTGATCATGTGGGGTGGCGGGATATTCTTCAAATGAGCTGCCAACTTTGAAGTGAAAAAATTTAGATTATTTTATTCCAGACAGTGTTTTAGTGGTTTGAAAAAAATGGACCAAATCAAATAAACCTTTTCGATGTTAGCAAAGCATTATGGGTTTGGATGACAAGCAAGCAATGCATTTTATTCACAACCCTATGGGGGAAGTGAACCAGTCAGAAATCAATTTATAGTTTTCTACTAAATATTTTTTGTGTATCTGCTCATCAACTTACAGATGCCTGTGTATTATGACATTATACAAGAAACATTTTCAAACAGAATTTCAAATGTTTGTAAGAAGAAGAAATCACCCTCAAGTGTCTTTTATTAAGGGCACCAGTCACTCTACGGGATGAAAATGATGGGTCAATGCAGGATGAAAGAGCAACAACTTTTACAAGTCGGGATTTTTGATTGGACAATACTAGGTATTAATACACACGGTCTTAGTCAAAGTAGTCCATGAGTAAAAGTGGTGTTGTTGGAAGGGAATTTCTGAATTTTCCCTTTCTGCCAAGCTTTAAACATCAAAGTTTGTGAAAATCTTCATCCCAAATCAATAATGCAACACTGTGTCAGAAGGCATGGAAGGGGAAGGCTTAAATTGTATTATGAAATAAAATGGAAACAAATTAACGTTTTCAGGTACACCTTTCCCATAGGGTTGTGCGTAAAATGCATCGTATGCTTGTCATCCAAACTGAAACTGAAATGTTCATTTTATTCTCAAAAAATGGAACTTTTGAGCTCAATTTTTATTTTTTTCATATTCTTCCGACCCCAAAATGTTCTAATGCTACACGACAATATCAGTGGCAGTGCTTATGATGGTGCTAGAAAACGTTACGCTAGCTTTTCAGTGCAACTGGTTAGGCTTAGGCAAGGAACCTTTACCTTGTTTTAAGAAAAGACTTGGCCTACATATACATACGGTTAACGTAGCCCTGACGTAAGCGCGACGGCCTACCTTTCCCATTCCGAAGCTGTTGTAAAATCAGTTATTTCGAACACTTCGGATTCCTGTTAAAACAAATCAGACATGTGCAGTGCATTAGAAATGCGCATGATGATTTACACCTTGAAAGAAACAATTCAAAGACAATTTGGGAGGGGGAAGAGCTCAGCTCGAACAAATAAAACCATGGAGGTAGAATGATAAAACACGTACCTCGACGTCGTCAGCCATTCTTATTCCTCTGTCGATTGAGGGCGCTGTCCAACGTTCTCATGGGCCGAGTTCGGGCGGCTTGTTCCCGTATGTTACGTTTACGAACAGCTCGATTTACGGTTATTCGTGGGTCGGCCACTTGAACGCCAGGAACAAACAACCGGTTATCGGTGGTAGTCTAGTTAGTGACATGCAACATGGCAGCGTCCATGTAGGGCACGTTATTCGAGAGTTAATGTTTGGATGGGCTGAATGTTTTTCTAAATAAACAGGAACATCCATTTCTGTGTTACGGAAAATAATGTTTATTTTGCAAAACTTCCGATTAATCTAAACTTTGCTGACAAGAACTGTGTCAGGTCAATCCATCCACTGCAGGTAGGTAAGTCTTTGCGACGTTTATGTACAATCTTGTTTTTCACGTAAGCACAGGGAATGAAAACAGACGTGCACAAGCAAGGAGACCTTGGAACGATATTGTTGGAAGTGAAATTGGGTCGTTAATGAAATTTGTTTTTTACACGTCACAATTGTGACTTTTCCAAAATATTACTTGTAGACAAAGGGAAAATTCCCGTGTGAGTGTTGCTTGGGGTGGTTTCATTTCGAAATCATTTTCCCGAAAATTATCGAACGTGATAGGACGGCCCCATTAAAAAAATCCACATAGGCGGACCGCGCGAGGGTTCCGGAAGCTTTCTGCGTGACCTTTTACTTTTAGGCTCAAAAGACGCTAGCCTCTCACAAGCTTTGCATGGGGGGAGCGGGTTAGCGTAGCAAATATTTCCTCACTTTGCACCAATGAGGCCCGGGTTCGAGTCCCGGCTTGGCCCAGGCTTTAAGTGCATTTGGTTTCCGGTCCATACTCGCTCTCGCAGGTTTTCTCCGGGTACTCCGGTTTCCTCCTGCCTCTAAAACTGGACCTTCTTCCCAACTCTGTTGATGCTAATTAGTAAAGGTTGTGAATAAACGTGTAGCATAGGTATTGGCGCGAATAGCCTGAGTTGCTGAAGCGCTAGTAAAACAAAACAACAATAAACTTTGCACTGTGGATGTGAGAAAGTCCCCCACTGTCGATCGGATGACCGTGCAGTTAGTAGGGCGCCCTCAATAATTTTTTCGTTTCCTTGCCATATTCTTCAGTATATTCTTCAGTGTTTATAGTATAAGATCACATACTGATTCTTGTGTTGATATATAAAATAGTACAAACAGTACAAACTTTAGTCTTAACCGGGGATAATTGTTGCAACGGAGCTCCAGGCTACCGAGTGGAGCGTTAGTATTGTGACGTGACAGAGGGCGCTAGTCACTAGGCGCGGTGCAAAGATATATGGCGCTCTGCCTAGTAACAGCGGCAGATGTTAGGCGCACATAGCTGTGTGTTAAGCAAGCACGGCGCATAGGCTCCGCCTTGTGCGTTGTGCGATAGGGCAGCAGAAGTCACTGCTAGGTCACGTGAGCGCGTGCGTAGGCGTGGTCACAGCGGCGCGAAAGCTATAAAAGGCGTGCTCGACAAACGGACTTCTCTCATTCAAATACTCGTGCCTAGATTTTGCTAGCGCATTAAAAAAACGGGACGAACAAAATGTCATGGGTCCTCCACATGGTCTGGGCACGAGACTTGTTGATCGTGAAACAGTCGTTGGTAGCACTCCCAAACGTCACATTCAGTGGCCACATTCAATTGCGTCGTAGAATGTATTAAGATGGTTTGACTTGGTGGTTATTTAGACGTCATTTTTGTTGTGAGTCAAATTGAATAAAAGAAAGAATCATTTGAATTTCTCGTGTTAATTAGATTAAGGGCCAACGCTTTGTATACAAATTTACTGTTCCTTGCTCTATGTTTATGTCACTGACGAAATTGAATGATTAGGCCTAAAGCAATGAATGGAATGATGTATCAGCGTAAATTCGTTCTTACGCCCTCTTTTGGTGAAGTTGTGCAGTCGAAACTCACGTTGCAGAGACGACTTTCCTCCTGATGTTAGAAGACGGTTGATCCCCAAAACAGGCAGTTTTTCCAGCTAAGTAAACTCTAGGAATGCAACAGTTGGCAAGAAGAGATAATTCTTCCAGCTTGGAAATCACCAAAGAATATTAGATTTAGTGTTAAAGGTTGGCTGGGGGACTAGAGGTTTCGTAGAGGGTCATTGCTGTAATGATAAGTCTACTACATGGACTCTCACGTACAATAATTGTATACTTGTATTGTCATTTGGGTTCCACATGTGGCAAAACACTAGGTACATAATAAATAAATACATTCTACTCAAAACATAGCTGATCAGTTTCTTTATTTAACCACATCATAAACGGGTGCTCATTAAGGTTGATGTACATGTAATTGTTACATGTATTCGTTGTCAACTAATTACAGCGAACAGCCGACTCTGGACTTGTGCAGAGTTGTAACGAGTCACTGATTTTAGTGATTCGAGTCGAGTCATTTTACAGCAGAGACTCGAGTCGAGTCACCCAAAAATGCGACTCAAGTCGGACTCGAGTCGAGTCATTGACTCGAGTCATTACAACTTTGGACTTGTGTCAAGGGCTGCCATTAAGGAGTAAAAAGACTTTTCTTCTGTGCTTCAAGGCCAGCTGTTTCCAAGGAGTGTTTTGTCAGGGTGTACACACTTTGCATTTTTTGTTGTGTAACTTAAGAGGTTACAAATGACAAAATACGAATTTGCTTTTCCCATTCAACGCCATTCCCGGAGGGAGACGAAGAGGACGAAATATGGGACGAATAAGACAAGTGTGTTTTTGTCGTGATTTACAATGCTCTGAAAGTGAAACCTTGTGATGTTAATTTCGAAATCGGTATCAACATTAGGGCGGGTGATCACTCTTTGACGAGATTAAACTTTCGAACTTATAAAGCAATTTTAAATGAAAGAAATGCTAAATTATCTGGGAAAACGTATACTGTGCCATTATTATTTTGATTAAGATAGAAAGCTTGTTAGCTAAAATAAAAGCATAAAAATTAGCATAAAAATTTGCCTATGTGCGATACATTGATAGTGGCGCTGCAATGGAATCACGCATGCTTTATGAGAATTGAAGGCAGATTTGAATATTGGGCTATAATACGGTAAGCTTAATTTACAATGCAGGTGTTAATATGAAAAAGTGTAAAAGAAAAAAGACCAAGGTGGAATAGACAAGATAATGCTCGACATTATGTCTTCAATTCAGTTGTGCACATTTAGTGTGTCACACTAGGAAGTGGCGACAACGTTTAGCCAGGTTCCAAGAAAAACGGGTTTTGGGGAGCCAAAAATATTGAAGTTTAGTTTTTGTAACCTTTTCTGACCTATTCTGACTTACACGCTTTTTGATGTAAAAGAACAAAGAAATAGACTCAAAATTTGCCTTTCATTTTTTTCAAACAAAGTCCCATGAGTCCCTCGGGAGTTAAAAACACCATATTACACATCACAGCAGTCAATATCGTTAAATATCCAATTGAGCCACACATTCGCTGCATAAACCTATGCAAATATCGAATATCAATAAAATGTAAACGTCAGTTTACAGAGGTAGGCGGATATCACACATTATCATTGTCTAATGTAGTGCTGCTTTGAGTTACGCACTATAATGATTATCTTATTGTTTCACGTTGCGTACCAGCCCTCACGTGTCTCTTTTCAGAGAGATTAACGTTTTTGACTGTTTTTATTCCAAATTATGTCTCAACCAATCGGATGTGAAAGTAAATAAAATTACCGTGAGAGCTTTGGGAAATTATGGACAGATATTGTTTTTATAACCATTCACATTATCAGTGGTTTTGAATTGGAACCTGAAAAGTACTATTTTTGATGAAATTGTCATAAAACACATAATCGTATGGAGTTTTAAGACACGATAATAACTGAAAGAAAATGTGCATTTTTGACAGAACCCTTATACCTATAGTGTAGGCTACCGAATCCAACCTTGTCATTTAAAGTGTTAAAACTAATATATGCCAAAATTACTTTTGGCCCTTGTTTAAGCTATGGCGTCAACTGTCATTAGATAGGATAGCATTGTTGTTCAGGTATATCGAGGCAGATTCGTCCACTCAGCTGGTACCCTGAAAAAGAAACGATCATTAGACACGGAATTACTCAGTTTGGCAACATGTCAAAATTAGTGTAACCCTTATTTTTGTTCATACATTTTCCGAACAAAGCACCAACGAATTTCTTGCTGGTTCTTTGGGTTACTGTTTGCCGGTTTTCCGTCTCTCTTTTCTCTCCCTCTCTTGAAAAGTTCGACCATCAACGACTACTTTTGTTATTGGTTTTTATGAGGCTCTAGATAAACCATCTCGTATCTCGCAATTACTTTATGTGCAATAATAGCGCCTCCATTGAAGTCGCCATGGTCAAGCGTGTAAGCAGCCACCTTGTATACTGTCCTCCATCCAAATTTATCATTCAGTCCGACAGACGTTTTCATTTCCCATACAAATCGTTTTTCCTGTCCCTTCGTTAGATTTTTTTGTATTTCAACAAGACAGTCCTAAATCCTCTGATTGGCTGATAGGAAGCACCTGAAATGATGGCACATTCAGACCATCGTAAATTTTGGACCACTTGTGGAAAAATACCAACATATGTGGAGAAATTTGTTTTGTAATGGTGTTGACTGTGGGAAATCGGCTGAGAGAAGTAATTTATACTCGCCCAGTATTAGTGGACAGGTCTTTGATGACAGTACATTAAAACCAGTGAAATGGGTTTGCAACACTTCAATCAGTTCTGGGAACCATAATTAAGACAAGATCCAAACTTTGCTCACGTGACATGGTGTACTCGGAGTGGGGCTACTTTTCACAGCAATTTTGGCCACCACAAACAGAAGTGCAAAATATGGCTGGACAGCATTGGAACAGATCCCTGCCGACCAAATCTGAAGAAATAACAAGACATGCAGTTTTGTAATGAGACAGGTCTTCCTTGAAGTGGCAAATTCTGTTTCTGATTTGCTGTAATAACTCGCCGCCAGCACACGCCCAACATTGATGGTCCGTAAACGCCAAACCGTACTCCCTCGAAGTCTCCTTTCTTATTTGTCGTCTCCAATTCGACCACATTTTAAGATCTACCCACGTCAAAACTCCAAAGCGACCATCGAAGTTCAAATGGCAAACGCATGAAAGGTCGATAAGGGTCTACAGAGGATTTCGTGTAGTAAGCTAGTCTCTTGAACGGTATACATTGCGCCCAGAGAAAATAAACAATCGACAGACCAAACAACACCATGCATATAAACAACTCCGGAACCATTACAACGAAAGCATGTGCATGGGGCAGATCGGTCGGTGATTTAACACTTGACAAATCATCCATTAGAAATCGCAGTAAACGCCAATCTCCAGGGGTCAAAAGTAGCTGATACAGTCTATGCCTCTTGACAAATAGATTACATATCGCCATTGGAGGGCTCTATGCGGCCCTCGTCTCACACAAAATAAGTTCTTTATTTTCGGGTGTTTTTTTTCCTGTGGAATTTTAGCCTCTAGGTTTCAACCTACCATCTTGCAAACCGTGGGCACCGAATTCCTCCCTTTTTAGGTCGTCCTGAATTACAGACAGCAATTTCCTCAAGCTCAGTGAGTCTGTTGAAAGGTAGACAATATGGGCCTAATACTGGTTTGACGTAAAAGCGACAAGTTCCCTTAAGAAATGCAAGAACATTTTCAGAGAAATTTTGGTTTTCCTTAAAACTTACGGAGCATAAACCTTGGCGCACTAAAAAGTTCCCTATGTCGAGTTCTTCCGAAATGCAATTAAATTCGTTTTAGAACCCATGTATTTAGGCGAATTTGCTTTTGCTTAAAATTCCTTGCTTCTTATTGTCTTTTTACGTGCTCACCTTTTATAAACAATCATTGTCAAAAATTCCAAGTCGCACATTAGACCCGATCGTCACTCAATTTTATACACTTTGATTCAATGAAGTTTCTGTCTTCGATTCTTGGGTTTCTTTCGGTCAGTCTACCTTGCTGTATTTTACTGATCGCAGTCATAAAAAAACTATCGCTGAATGCGAGGCTTTTCAGTCAATCGAGCAATGATTCAAACCAGCAATCGACTTCGTGCTGAACTGACTCCGAAGCTAATTCCGATGGCAAGTTTTTTAAAATAAACAAGATAACAGAGCTATAAAATCTAGCTCACTTACCACATACTTTTCGCACAAACTGGATAATACTAATAGGTGCTAACCTTTTTCTTCCCTGTTTTGGGCCTCGGTGAACACAACACATCCCAGACTGAAGAGAGCAAGCAAACACAGAAAGCCCTTCATCTTTGACATCAACTGCGAGTTGGAGCAGGGAAAAATGCAACGTATAAATATTACACTTGCAGCAATGAAACTACTGCCAATTCTCCTCACGACCGGATAAAAACGGAGTAACTCATTTCTGTGGGTGAGAATTTAAAAAAATCAATTCACGGTATTTTTGGAATGGAACAACACTCATTTCAATCCACTGGTATTGAAAGAAAATGATACATATCAATTTGACTTTGCTTTTTTTTCATTTTGCCCAATTGTTTTCAAATACAGTCTGTACAATCAAGGTTCATAATGTCCCTAATACCAATATATATTCTGTTACGTGCCGACAAGCACACACGGACGCACGACAAAGAAAAGACAAACTAACGGAAAATGATATTTGGTACATTGACGAACTAACGATAGACGGATGCATCAGGCTAGGTATTAACTTATGAACAGGTAACAATCATTTATTAAATAAACAGATCGAACAAAAGAATTGACGACAAACTATCTACGAGGGAAATACATGACATGAAAACCCAATATTCGGCCGGATATAATGAAATTAATGTGAGCTCACGCAACTAAGAATGAGGTTAGGCCGGGCGCTCAGTCAGGCACGCGGAGGCAGGGCAACGCCGTCATGGTCTATCACTGCTCGACTACCACCACAGGATGGTGAAGACTTCGGAGACCGGTGATAAGTGGCGTCGGGCTCTGGGCACTGGAGGTCAGCTGCAAGCCATTCACGGTAGTAGCCTCGACGCCCCACGGTCCAAACGATTTCGGCGGAGATGGCCGCACCCAGTCTTACCAGCTTGGCTTGGTAGAAGTCTTGGCCTCTGGTGGAAGATCTGCCTCCCTCGATGGTGGTATGCACTGACTGAGAGCCCGGCAAGGTACAGTGCGGAGCTTAAATACCTGCTCCGTCACAACACCACACTCGCTATTCAAACAAAATAAATTCTTTGCGTGCCAAACACAAGAAAGAAGAAGGGCAGCTATATGTCAAAGAAAAGGCTACAAAACGGCAAGTCCAGCCGTAACACCGCCGATAAGGTACTCACTTTAGCTGAAGGCGCTAGGCTGTGATGAGGTTATCTTTGCGGGATCCTCACTACAGTGAATGAGAAGTAACGAGTTTTCAGTGATGAAGCATGCAAAGGCCAAGTTCGATTAGCGAGCATTAGGCAACCACTGGTTTATTTTGCAGGATACCCAGGATAAGTTTTGTGCATAGGTTCTTTGGGAAAATCGAGCAGTTTGAAAAAACTGTCATTGCTAGAACTTGGGCAAGGGAAAGTGTCACTCAGAGCGGAGAGATGATAGATAAATGGAGCCATAATTGATAGTTGAAAAGAGATCTGACGTGTCGTAAATAGGACACCGCATCAGAAAACATCTCAATACCAGGAAATAATTAAAGGCCTGTTCATACTTTGCGCGAAAGCGAGAGCGAACACAATTAAATAAGTGAGGGCAGATCAAATTTGTGCTGCGAATTCACAAACGTTGAACACACTTCAACTCGATCGGAATTTCGCTACAAAGTTGTTGTGACGTCAAATTCGTTTGTTTTTCGCATTCGCCTGAAATATGAATCGGTCCTAAGCTTAAGACGCAACGACAGACCTATTTCTCTCACATGCCTGTTCGTCTCGACTTGACGTTGAAACTCCGACGACGTGGCTATCTGGTATGTCTGTCTGGTAAGTCAACTTAAGTAATGTGGTTGAATGCTTGACCCAGAATTAAGTCAATCACACTGCCAATGCCTCGATTCAAGGGATTGGTAAATTTCATCATTGTGGAGCACTGCCAAAAAAATAGAACACTCCATAAAGGGTGACATTTACAGCATTTCCGTCACTACCTGCGGAAATGCCGGGTTTAATTATGATTCTACCCAGACAGTGTGGACAAATTATCCACAGCATTTTTGTTTTAAATTTCCTTAATTAATAAGTCAACATTTATTTCTGCAAAATGGCACAGGCATGGGAAATTGCGATTATTTTTAACAATTAGGTGCTGATATTTGCATACAAAGTTCCCTCTTCACCGGTGCACAAAATTCTCGCGCAAAGGTAACGATTCGATCAAAAGGTTCTAAGCACGAAAAGCTGTATGAGCAACTGTTCTCCGACCCCCTCCTTTGATTTACAACTTGCTAGATATTGTTTCTCATGTTCCTCTGCAGCCCAGTTTTTGGCATAAGTTCAAGTTGTGCCAATGCCCAATTATCGCAACATGGGTAATTTTATGGTGAAACGGTGGTATGTTTAAATAAGTGTGTTATGGAATTGGAGGCCTCTTTGCTAGTCAGGATTTAAGTGAGAAGTGGTTAAAGTGTCGCCATCGCCATAATTCACTCTACAAGCATGCTTGTAGCGCACAGCGAACCCCAAGCCTAATCAACGCGGATGGCACTCTCAGAGCTCCGTACTCCCTCTGTGCTTGTTTCGGAACCAGTTACACGTACTTTTCCCCTCACAGCTTTTTATATTTAAATGACAGATAATCGACAGCACGCTATTAAAACACGGTAGTGTTACCTTAAACAGGTGGGGGTGGAGGGTTTGGTTAACGAGCCCCTGAAGAGACATTCCTTTTTTCTCGTGTGCGCAAGATAACTATTATTAAATGCGCATGACATAAATCATGTCCACGAAAGAAAGCTTATATCGTGACCTCCAGTAGGGGTGATTGGAAATGTTTACAGTTCAACAGTGTCAAGTTCTTGCGAGCATTATGTAGTACCTCTCAAATATCCATTTTTAATCTTGAGACTGTATTTTCATGACGACAAATCAGCAACAAATTGGAAGGGAAACAGGCGAATACCCCTCCAGCGAAGTTAATTTCGTGCGAAGAATCTGAACTGCTTTTGCAAGAACAATGACGTAACCTCGAAAGTTCATGAGCTGTACTTATTCCATAACACTGCAAGATGACCACATTGATCATTTGAGTATTATTTTGTTGCATCTTTTCACGAGTTCTAAAAAATCCATACAGTCAGCAAGAAATGAGACCGACGGGTACCCCCCACACACATATCCAATAGCTATTGACATTCCCCCAGATGTCTGAAAAGAATGCTTCAGATTCCAGTGAAACAATGACCAACACAAAGCTGGGGATTCTCTCCGTCTCATGTGTTACTTCATATGTAAATTCATTAATGAGAAAGGTTTCATGCGTTGGAAGTGTTTGAATACCTATTGGCAAAGAAAGTCAGAGTGCATTGATTGCAGACTGCTGATTTTCATAACTTTTGGTATTCAAATTGTGACCAGTTGACCAGTCTGAGTCACGTGGTCCCTTCTCTTCTTCATTCACTTAATTCTCTTCTGTTCGCTGTTGAGTGTGACAGGTAGACCAGCTGTGCCACTCATAAGCAAACTATGGGACAGAGAGAAGGCTTTGTGTTGGTCGTTATACTAGTATCTCAGGATTTCTTTTCAGACATCAAGGGGGGATGTGTTAAAGTGACAATAGGCCTGAGTGTTAATAGAGATTGGACTTGTTGGGGGGTACCCCTCTGTCCCATTTCGCACCTGGTAGAGTGCTGCTGGTCCTTTATACACTCGCAGGTAACCTTTTCTTTTCATTGGATGCCTCCTGAATATTAAACACAGCATTGCAATGTGCATGTAACACCTCACGTATGTTTCACCCCATTCAACGTGTGCAATTAACGACTTCGACCGTGCGCAGCGGTTACTTGACCAGACCCTCGTGAAACATACGGAAATGTCCTTAACTTGCCAATCCTCTGTTGAGCCTTCTCGGTTTTAAGACTTCGTTTGCACAAAGTTAACAAACGATCACATTGAAACTCTTTGTATGTGCTCTAGGAGGCTTAAACCGAATAAAACA